ACCCTAACTAACCCTAACTAACCCTAACTAACCCTAACTAACCCTAACTAACCCTAACTAACCCTAACTAACCCTAACTAACCTAACTAACCCTAACTAACCCTAACCCTAACTAACCCTAACTAACCCTAACTAACCCTAACTAACTAAACCGACTCGCTACCGAGTAAGGTATGTAAAGATATATGTAAGTAAGGGTCCATGGTAAAAATAGAGGTGGAACGATATGTAAATAAGAGAAATGGGAATATACGCACTAGAGAGCTTGGTGGACAGTGGATGGATGCTTCTGGATGGCTGGCGCTATAGGGCGCTCAAGCGCGGGAAAGCGCGCGCGTGTATACATCGCAAAGCGCGGGAATGGTGCGCGCATGGCGCGCGTTGTGCGGGAAAGCTGCGCCTCATATAGGAATAGCTGCAGGTAGCATACAGAGTGATTGCTGCAAGTCGTGCTGTGTACTCCCTAGTGGATACTGCCATATCATGCCATGAGAGGCATGAGTCTCTACAACGGTGTTCTTCTTGGCATTTTTCAGATACTAGTGTTTTACAAACACAATCAAATTTCAAATTAAAACTTACTGGTTGCATGCTGAAGCTATCAGTGGTTCCAAACTGTCAGATCATATTGGGGTAATCTTCCAATGCATGGTACTTATAGGTCTTGAGATTGAGTTTCTTGTGTCTTGGACCAGATGGAACTGTCTTGCCCTTGCTTTTTGGGTCTGCTTCTGTAAGCTTGGAAGCTAACATAGCTTTCTGCCATCCACATGTTGCATACTCATTAGGTAGTTCTGTCATATAGTAATCGTTACATGTTGTGCGAGCGAATTTTCGTACTGTCTGCCCTAGAACAGCCGTGGCAGTGTCAAAAAAGTTCATGGTGTCCTTGGTGTGCATGTGCAGCTCCGCGAAGCCATGCCAAGTCACCAGATCGAACAGAAGGTCTAGAACCATCACATTATGGCTGTCTGGCAGTAAGCCCTCAAAGACAGGAAGCGCACACTAAAAATAAAACCAGATCATCAATAACTGTATCGAGGAACTTGGAACCAACACCTACCTGCAGAAGATCCTCAAAATCTCTTGCATAGGCATTTCATTGAGGATGCATTTGAATTAAATTTTCTTATTGTGCCTCTACCAAAGGTTGGCGTAGCACGATATCTATTAAGATCTGTTAGGGAAAATTTAAAATACATACCGTTCATTTAGTTTTTGGACTACATCTCCACCAACTGCATGCAAAATGTGCATTAAATGTGTGAATTGAAGCAAATTCATGAAGTTCATTGATCACAAACATGTGAAAACAGTTGAATCCGTAAGGTGATAGCTTGTCAGAAAATGAATTCTATGTATTAAATATCATCAGTCAGTAAGAAGTTGGAGTGGGCACCAGAAATTTTTCATTAAGAATACTCTTGACACGAGTCCCATCAACAGGCACGCCCAACTGAAAAATGAGCACTCGCGTGTCATCGATCTTCTCGGAGGTGTATCCTGTCATCCTTCCACATACATCTGATCCGACGTTTCATATCCACCTTTTGTTCCCATCAATGGAACCTCGTCCTTCTTTGTGAGACAGCGTGGACAAAGGCATTGTCCGAGATTCTTGATACCTGTGAGAATAACTCTGAGAAGCATTAAATGCATGCATCCAAGAATGAATAATATTACTTACTTCTCTGGATAGTCGGCTGAGTATGTAAAGAATCAAGGGAACACTCTACGAGTGATCCCATCGCTACATTAGATTACCATACCATACTCATAAGGCATAAAGTCCTCATCTAGTAGTAGAGCCCATATGGCTTGCATCAGCTGATGCTTGCAATGTGTGTAGACCTGATGTGTACATGGCTCGCCAAAATCAAGTATACTTTGACTCGTTGGCCAAAATACAAATCAAAAGGCCAGAGTGAAGTGTCGCCGAAATTTGCCAGATGTGTAGCATCAGACCAGAACATAAGTGATGCAACGATGCGCTCGAGGTCATCTCCGGCTTCACAAGGCAGATCATTGATCTCTGCATATGTCTCCACCATTTCAGCGCTGGAGTACGCTTCTGAGAAGACCTCGATGTCGCGACGATCCAGAGATTTCCAGAAGTCGCCGATGGGGGGTGTCATATCGTAAGTTTTTGGGACGTCATCCTGGCAAACAGACTGAATGATGTCAGTGATCCTGGACCCAGAGTAATGATAGGGGCATGAGAAGCTGGCTGCATAGAGATCATCTTGACCGATCTCCTTAGACGACGAGCCCTCAGTGATCAAACTGGGAATCAGGTCACCTCCAGCAAGTGTCGGAGCATCGGTAACACTTTCCAGGGTATTTTCATTGGGGTATACACTGGGGGCGGGTGGGGTAAATTCAGTAGAGGCATGCTTTGTTGGGTCTAGTCTTGAAAGGGATAAAAAGGGGGTGGGTCATCGTGCTCTGATTGCTGTGGGGATGGCGTATGAGGCTGGGGGTCCATACGTTGATCTGCGATGACATCATTGTGATGTAAATGTTGCTGACAGTTGGAGAGCGGCATATGGGCAAGAGCCGGCGCCGAGTCGTTCAGACATGCACAACATCTGAACCATCATACTGATCAGGTGCTCAGAAATAAAAAAATTAAAAAAAATAAAAATCACATCTGAGGGGATTTGAACTCTCAACCAGGCATGCGCAGCCAATATCAATCGGTTTGACCACTAGGCTAAGTGACCACAGATATCTTTGACCCAGCGTTCGGGGTATGTACCATATCCGCTGGACTCGAAAATATTTTATCATCTCCATGAAAGTCGTAGCCCTAGCCGTAGTGGAGACGAGGCCGGTCTTGGCTGGTCGATCGGCGGTCGTTCGAGCGAAATACGAGCGAAATACGAACGAAACATCGGCGAGTTTTGTGAATAAGTGAAAATGAAAGGCGAATGAAATATCGATGAAAGCCGTGGACGATTGTATGAACCTCGAAGCATCGGCGAGTTTTGCGAAAAAGCGAAAATGAAAGGCGAATACAAGCTCGATGAAAGCCCTACGCATCATGGCCTCTTAGCCTGGCGGTAAGATGGACCCGAGATTCTGAATCATCTTGAGTTCGATTCCTGCCGGACGCAACTTTTAAAAATCGCATTTCTTTTGACGCAAGATTTCGAACAGACAGGGGTTTGATCTGCGAGGGACGGACAGGGGCCAGCCCAGCCCGTGGGAACCGTTTATCCCCCGACAGGGGCTCGTCGGGAGGCCCCCGACCGCCGCCTCACTATACATATATGGAGCCTGGAGGTGGCGCTCAAAAACGCTCTGGTACGTATGCGCTTTGTGGTCTAATTTCCCTTCCTAATTGTTTTGGCCATCTAGGGTGCAGATGATGGCAATGTAAAGCTCAAGGCGAGTCTTCTCTGCTTCTCTTTCACACAGTGACACTGCATCTCACCTTTTACTAGGGACGTCCAGACCAACCGAGAGTTGTGCGTCCACCAATTGTGAGCAACCCCACCTTTTCTCATGTGTCTCGTCAGACCTTTGACCGTCTTGCGTATAATCAGCAGCCTAAAAAAACAGGACTGGGAAGATATGTCAGTGTACTTTCTTCTTCTTGACCTATCTGACACCAGGATACAGGGCAATGATTTCTTTGGCAATGAATCAGATCACGCGTCTCGTCGTGCAGCTCCACCCAGAAGTCCATCGTCCCTTATTCGTTGGCGTCGTTTGCTCAGTTCCATACATTTCGGCACACGACCTCTAAATGCATCCCAAACAATCAAACGACAGTCCCGACACTGGAATATCAACTTCAAATTATTTTCTGGAGGACATTCCATGCGCACCATCAATGTACCTCTTGCCCAAGATGACAATGTAAGTGACTCGTCGTCCCTCTAATTTTATTCCATTAAAATACACTGCAGAGAATTGGTATTGTCCCTGAGACTGATGCAGAAGCAGCCGCAGCTATGCAACGTACGAACAGCAACCAGGCCGACATTTCAACGCAATCAGGTCAACCAGCTGGGGCACAGCCATCTAAAGCACAATCAATCCAAACAGAAGCACAAGGCTCAACTGGCGGAGTGGAAGACTTTGTGTATGCAGGAGTGAGCTGCTGCGGATTTTTCTTTGGTCGTCGTCGTCCTGCTTCGCATCAGTCATGAAGGATGAAAGACGTGTGACACGCGCACACTCGGTTCAACTCTCTTTCTCCCGCACCTGTGTCTAACTCCTCTCATAATCGATATTCGCCACCATAACTATCACCCACGTACTGGGATCCAAGTACGAGAAATGTGTATCTTGATTCTGATGTATAAGCTGGACTTGTCACTTTTTTGGACAAGTTTCCTGCTTATTCGAATGTCATTAGTTGAAGTCCTAAGGCGTTGTATTGTGAACGTGTCGTGATGCCTCCAGAGACGCAGTTGAGTTGAACGACAGGGCAAAAATCTTCGCCAAGAAAACCAGGTATAGGACCAATCGCAAGCATAAGACAATGGATTTTAACAAATGAGTAGTTATAATATATTCGCTCTAAATACAAATGATGTACATGTATCCGGTGGATCTGCACCAATTGGCTTGACTGTATCATACTTATACGAATACGCACGATAGATAGTCCAGGTAATGAGCCCATATAAAAAAAGTCCAGACGAACAAGTATGCATCAGTATACCACATATATCGAAATATCAAAGAGCGTCGGTAGAGATGTGCGCGAGATGAAATGAGATGAGATGGAAAGCAGCAATGCTCTTAATAAAGCCCACATCCATATCCGTCAACGAATGTCGACATCAACAGTATCAGGATGCTCGTGTGATGTCGAAAATCGCCATGACGGAGTGACGACTTCAGTACTCGGACCCAAGGATGACGAGTTCCTGTCAGCGCTGTCGCTCCGAGATAGGTTATGATGTAGACCAGTGAAAATTTGGCTCCCGCGTGCAACAGTGCCAACGCCTGCCATACCTACACCAGCCTCCGCAACGTCGCCATCACTGCTCTGCGAGCCGCTTCCTCGGCGATGCCGGTTTGTGAGTAAGGGAACAGATGTGCTTTCCAGCACGCCAGTGATTTCATCCGATGTTCGTCGATGGTTCGTGGTCAAAAAATCGAGGGAAGTGGGAGTATCGGGCAAGGGCGCATCAGTGCCTACAATCGTATCTCGATTGGCAGCATGAGGATCCCAAGGATCGCTCAGGTCGAATATTGACGGAGGCGAGTGATCGTATTTGACATTCCATTCTCCAAACTCGTCGACTGGATCTAGCTCAACACGGGTCCCGTTTGAGTCCAAAGTATACTGGGACACTTTCTGTTTCCTCGTAGCGTATGCAAGCGTCCTGAGAGTACTAACAGCAGCATCATCGCTTGACTGCGAATTGCGCCTCGTAAGTTGGTAGACCCCATACTCGCCTTCGCCTTTCTTCCCTCCATCTGTGTCAACCATCCCCTGTTTCTTCCACTGCCGCCGCGTCATGAACCATTTCAACCCGAAAAGTGTGACGCATAGTGCGAAGAAGCCGATCAGGCCAATAAGAACTTCGAGGCCCACTGACAACTTTGGTTCGCTTGAAAAAGCGACCTGTGGCGGTGGTGCGCCGCCAAGTGGCTGATTGAGGACGCGCACGTTGTTAAACTCATTAAGCGCTTGAGTTATATTCGTGAGTCCCATAAGTCCGAGTGTTGGTCGGATTCCAGCGTAAACAGACATGTTAAAGGGTGGGGGTTCGTACGCAAGCACGGTGTAGACGTTGCGCATGAAAGGAACGCCGAGGACCATGTCCCCGATGTCAGAATTAGCAGTAAGTTGTGAGTCGTCAGCCTGTATAAGGCCGATGCAGTACTGTGAGTTGTGCTGCCCAGACGGCTCGCTGGTAAGGTCGAGTGGGTGGATGGGTAGCTCGGGTTGGCCGTCGAGAGTAATGGTCATGTTGAGTGGTGTCGTACAAGGGACATAGTCTAACAGACATTCAGCTTGGCAATTACGAACTGAGGTGAATAGAATACAAACAATTGCCGTCCGAGGCTGGGCTTATGCCCAGTGCGCCATATATTCCGTTTGCGATAGACGATGTCGTGACGATAAATGGCACCCCAGAGTCGAGCAGTGCAGTGGGGAAGGCAGCACCGGTAACAGACTCGGTTAGTACTACAGGACGTGCCTGACCATTTACGTAGACCGTAATGGCTCGAACATTCGTTTTCCAGAATAATATGCCAACGCCCTGGCTCACAAGCGTCGAATACTGGATTTTCGAGGGATCTGGAACCACAGACGAAGGATGCATACCAATTCCAAGAAGTGATGGAATTGCATCCGAACCAGGACGGGCAAAAGTGAGGGAGAAGAACGGTTGTGAGGGAGCTGTGGAGGCGGGCGTCATGGAAAACAGATTCGAGGAAAACGATGCGCCATCTGGGTTGTTGTCCGTGGTCGGGGGAATTGTTTGCTCGATGATCGAATCAAGAGGAAGAGCGAGACCAAGGATGCCGTCAAAATCTAAGCTGAGGGGCTCGTCGGATACCGTGTTAACAGCAGCTGTAAATGTCGATCAGGATAATGTAACAAAAAATTACAGAAAACAAACCCAGCGCCTGATTCTCCACACTGTATGTTCCAAGCTGGACTGTATCCCATACTATGGGCCCGCTAACGGTTCCGGAGAGATAAGCGATGGTAAAACTAGCGCCACTTGTCGTTGAGGAGGTCGGATCGTAGAGGCGACCATTTGTGGACGAACACGATGCAGTGGAGCACGATTTTGATGCGATCCACTTCATTTTTGGGATTAAAAAGGCTGTGCAGCCAAGGAAGGCACGACTCACAAGATCCGATGAGCCTGTGTCAATTTGAAGGGAAAGGTTTTGCTGAGCTGCGCCTACTGACACGGGCACGGTATAGGCACTAAATTTAAGCGATGAGTTTGGAGAAAAACGAAATCAGAAGGTAAATTTTTTAACCGCTGGAAAGGCAGGGTCTCCGGGACGGATAGAACAATTCGAAGTTCGTATAGGTAATTCAAAAACTCACACTGAATCGTAGCTGGTGGTCACCATCTCAAGTTCTAACACCACACCACCAACCCCACCTGTACCCTCGTCTCGAGCACGTTGCTTGCCTTCTGCCTTAGATGATACACGGGCGCTTTTGAGTAGGGTCATCGTTCACTAAGAGAGACAGCAGTCTGAAAGGTCAGGGGTTATGGGGAGCCAGAACTGCAAAACATAGTGGACTTGCAAAGAGGGTGGGGATAAAGGAGGGTCTGGATGAGATTTTGAACGTCTAGATGAAAGCCAATGAGGACATGCAAGCTTGATAGTACCAGTAGATGCGCTTGATAGTCGTCCTTAACTGAAAGGTAGGATTAAGACAGCACGAAAGGGAATGGATGAGACCGGAGGATAGCTAGTGGGGATAACAGAACGAGGTAAAGAACGAGGCGATGATGCCAGATTTCAGGACGCTGACACCTGTACATAAAAAGTTCCGTCAATAGGTAATATGTCAGAAAAGACGCCCAAAAGTCAGTTTGAACATACCGCAAGCAAAACCAAACTTGCTAAGATTGGGATTGTGTTAAGACAGTACTAGTGTTAAGAGGGTATCCTCGGGCGCGCTCACCATCCCATTCCCGCCCGACGCGCTCGGGCTCGGCAGCGTTGCAGTTTGCAGCGACCCTGCATGATCTCCTTTAGGCACTTTATTCGCACACTTCACATTCTAAACAGGCGGAAACGCGAGCATGACGTCTTCATCCATACTCACCACGGCTGACTCTGTTAGGCACTACCGGAGGATTGAGCTGGTACGAACGGAAGACCTTCACGCGATTTCCCTACTTCCAGTGAGGAATCAATAATCCGATTTAACCTGTGGACGACCCACGACATGAAACTTGCTATCGAAACCGGCCGTAGCCTTCGTGTAGCGATGTGGAACGTTGAAGAAGATGACAGGTGACTGGTAGTGACAGCCGAAGTAAAACATGGTGTCTAGAGCAGGAATGAAGCTTGAAGCTTTGAAGCCGCGAAGAAGTCGATGATCGGCGACTCTCAAAACCAGAGCACTATAGTACTAGCCGCTGTCAGCAGCGGTACCTTCACTCCGGGACCGCATCATCTTCAACATTCAACCTTGTATCCTTTGGGTCCGTTTAAATGTATGCTAATAATCGCTGTAGCAACTTGAATAGATTTCCTATACCACTAGCAAGTACAGATTCTGGTGTAGCCGCTGCCTAACGCAGCATTAAAAGTGCACGCTGTGCTCCACATGCTCCCATCGTTATCGCGATATGTCCTATTTCGACATATAAAGTTAAGGCGGATCTAGACTTGAAGCTGTACCTGAACGGCATTTGTCGAGAGTTCCCTGATGGGGCAGACAAATACATAGAGTTCAATCATAATGCATGATGATTGATCCCCGCACATGTTTAAACTTACGGAGCGCTAAAAATGCTGCAGACGTCACCATGCGCTACTTGTTGATTGATTGCGGAGGACAGTATAACCCTTTGGTTGAGTAGACTGCAATGTCTGCCGTTGGCTTGGTGCGGTAAGTTTATGAACATCCAGCAATGCGTTTACAGCATGCCATCATATGCCAAAATTGTCGCCTAGCTGAGAAGTTGGTTTCTGGTAATTTGCAACTAAAACTGCTCCACACCTCGAAGCGAAGTCAGGGTTGGTAACTTACCAGCTATTGGTTCAGGAAGCCACACGCACCACTATATCAGATGAGGATACAATTGTGATACAAACAGCTCCCCACCAATCCGCAAAGTCGATAAGGACATCGCAACGTTGTCAAAGTGTCCTGTTTAAAATAGAGCAGTCGGAGATTACAAGGTGCGCTTACCTTCGATGGGCACCATATATGTCCCGCTTTCCACGATTCTATATTAGAAATTTGTGCAAAAAACGACGGACTCATGGCGGTACCACAGGAACGACTCGGAGAAGAGGTGATGATAGATCTTCAACACGTTGAGAGTAGGGGCTGGACTATGAGTTATAAAAGGATCGGTTTGTGACATACACACACATGATAATCATGACCGGTAAAGATACTGGGTTCAATCAAAGTCTCATCGATAAGACTTCGACTGAGTACAGTTCCTATTGCTGTGGTAGTAGCACCGTTGATCAAGAGCTTGCCGCGTCAACAGACTGTTCAAAGGGGGGCAGGTACATCCTGGAGCTACGTACTTGTTAGTTTGTTTCTATAGCTAAAGGCTTTTCGATAGCGATAAAGTTGCTCACCAGCTTGACAAATTGATGATTGATTTCTTGAGTCATGAATTGTATATATACCGAAAAATTAGAAATGACCGTCCCGACTCCCGTTCCTCGACCATTCGTTAGATCTGTCGAACCCTGATTTGGTGATTTGGAAGCCCTCCAAAATCCCGGAATTTATTTTTGAGGATTTGTGTCAACCTGTGAGCTCTGAGCATAGCACATTTCAGCGTTTGTTGGACGACGGGGACAGAGGACGAGACAAAGCGGACATACAAAGCGGACGGACGGGACGGACAGGCCGGACAGAACTTACTTTCAGGGGACGATTCGGAATTTCCCGTTCTGAGTCTTGACTCTATCCTCAATCATCAGGGTTAGTTTCTTCGCCTGGGTCGACCTGCTATAAAGTATGGCTACAAAATACACTGCTAGGGCAAGCGCTTCGACTTCTCGCCGTGGTCAATTTTCCTCTGGAACAAACCGTAATTCTAAATTACGGCCTACACATTGTCCGTGGGTTTCGACTTTTTGAATGCAGTATACGTGCTCAGTGCGTGATCTCCAAAGTCATATCCCTGCCCATCGTAAGTACCGATCTTTCGATAATGAAAAATTCACGCCAACGTAGAACTAGGGGCACCATGTACAATTGCAGGAATCAGTGAAGTCGTTCACGGATGGCTTGCTTAATTGTAAGCCTTCGCTCCCTGGCCTTGATCGCGGTATTGTTATCGCACCTCGTCGCCTTCATCTGACACTAGGAGTTATGACTCTTGAAAATTCACCGGGTTCTTCGGGACGAACTCTAGAAGATGCACAAGCACTGTTGTGCACATTGAGAACGCGCGTCATGGAATTATTGAATGGACATAGTCTCTCCATCCCTATTACGGAGATGAACATCATGAACCCCGATCGCGGTAATGCAGACAATGCGCATGTACTCTGGTTGGGCCCTTCATTGGACACAGAAGATGCGCGACGCCTCAAATCTGTTAGCGGTGCGCCGATGCTCGCCCCATGCTAATTATATTCGCATATCAATACTGTAGCAGAATTTGTGAACAAGGCATTTAGTGACGCCGGGTTTATTCAGGATCGTCGTCCCCTCAAGGTTCGTATCTCTTATTCCCAGATTAATGCAACTTAGTGGCCAACACGGAATTAGCTGCATTGTACAATTCTCAACACTTCGCACCGCAAACCATCTCGACAGCCGTTCTCCTATAATGCAATTCTGATGTCGCCGTTTATTCGCGAGATTGTTCGTACACCGCTAGAATCACATGATTTTCGGGATCCCGTGAAAGTGGAGTTTGGTACTTGGAGTGTTGATGAGATACAGATATGCAAGATGGGAAGTTACGGACCCGAAGGCGAATACGTGAGTTGCGGGTGCTGTTCGTTGGCGTCATAGGTTCGATGTATGACATATGGTGTCCAAATTGTTTTATACTTACAGCCGAGGCTTGGCTGGACTGCGTCACTACGGCATGACAGATACTTTGAGTACCCGTGGCTGTAATGCTGTGGCTTGCGACGAGGAAGGGCTTACTAGAAAGGAAGTTAGGTCTCACGCACAGGCCTACACCTGTAGCACAGCCCATTGTGTGGCCATTGAAAGAGCGATTAAAAGACCGACTTGTATCATCGTGCGACTCTTGTCTCGCTGAACACCATCATCCCCAAGGAGCGCCCGTACATCCACGCAATCCTACTTTCTACGTTCGAATAATGGCTGAAATCAGGAGGAAGCTTGTTATCGTTGGTGATGGTGCTTGTGGAAAGGTACGCCCCTTAACGTGCACGCGAAACAACACACGGAACGAGCTCATATCATTAACAGACGTGTTTGTTGATAGTTTTCTCTAAAGGAACATTCCCTGAGGTATTTTCCATCAGTATCGTCAGCCGGGTGTTTGTCTAATTATTTGCTCGATTTGTGCGCACATAGGTCTATGTTCCGACCGTCTTCGAGAACTATGTAGCAGATGTGGAGGTTGATGGAAAGCACGTCGAGCTTGCGCTATGGGATACGGCAGGGCAAGAAGATTATGACCGTCTCAGACCTCTCAGTTACCCAGACACCCATGTCATTCTTATCTGCTTTGCTGTTGACTCACCAGATTCTCTGGACAATGTTCAAGAAAAGGTACGTCTGGCCAATGAGCAATGCCTCATTCGGTCCTGACGGCATCTCCCGAAACCAGTGGATTTCCGAGGTGATGCACTTCTGCGCCGGTCTTCCCATCATTCTTGTTGGCTGCAAGAACGACCTCAGACGTGACCGACGAGTGATTGACGAGCTCAAGAAGACGAGCCAGAGACCTGTAACTCCTGAGGAGGTACGTTTTTGTTTCCTTTCTCACAGATTTCTTTGGATGATGTGTCGACCTTTTCAGGGTATGGCGGTAGCGAACAAGATTGGCGCGAGGCACTATCTCGAGTGCTCGGCCAGAACAGGCGAGGGCGTTCGCGAAGTCTTCCAATATGCTACAAGGGCTGCACTTCTTAGCCGGCCCAAGAATAGCAAGAAACACCACTGCGTGGTTGTGTAGACTATCTTGTCTTACTTTCCACCTCGCCGCACCCCGCCGCTTCTCTGACTACACCCTTGCCCCTGTCAAGAGTCCATACCCTTCACGACTAGTTGTTATTAGCAATCTTCATGATCTGTCCTTTCCCTCGCTCTATTTTTGCGTGACCGGACACGTGTGCGGCCTTGTCAGTATTTGACTCTGCATTGATGTTTCTTTGCTTTTCAGTTTTGAATGAATTCAAGTAGGATTGCATGGACCTTTGGTAGTAGGTTCTATATCTACGCTTCTGCCTCTTATTCCGCTTCGAGTTTGAGTCGCATGTCTACAACGGTCCTTGTCTCCGATGTTCCAGGAGTGCGAAAGCGCCAAGGTGAACCTTGAAGGTATTGTGAATCATACGTCGGGCTTTCCCTTGATGAGGTCTTTGCTCTCTAGACGACGTCAAGGAGGCCCAATTCTGCAATGCGCTTACTGGGATTGATGGTGTGGCGCAGAACTGCAAAAGCACATCCTCGATGTACAGGTGAAATTGTACGAGGTTCGCCTTGCACATGAAACTTAATTTGTCATGTTCATGCATTCGCATGCTTGACTTGAAGAGGCACGCTCATCAAATAGTGCGTATCATTCAAATTGATGTCTTGTTTCCAGACCATGCCCAGAGCTTCAGTGACCTCGTACAATCCGAATGCACCTCTTGCGGACTGCCGGCGGTGACGGTGACATCGAGGGGCCGACTTCTGATCGTGCTATATACCAACAAGGTTGATATTAGGTTAGTTGTCCGACGCTGTTTTCCATATTTCCTGCACCGTTTCCCTGCAATCTATCTGGTGACTGATCGTACCAAGTGAGGCGTGGGTGTTACACACTAACATACAAGTATAGTATGCAAGCCGAGCTGTGCGAGCGTGCAGGCTTCATCGCGTGAAGGGGCCGATAACAGATCGGCTGAAGTGGACCGTTTGCATGCTGTCTGGACAGCACGAGTGGATAAGCTGGGAAGCTCCTGCCGGAACGAAAATATGTGTTGATGCGCACACGAACAAGTGAGATACGCACCCGCCGGATCACTTGTCCTGATGCCTGAGATTGTAGAATTGAAATAGATCACAATCAAGAGATCTCAACCGTCTACACGCCGCCAACGCGCTAGAAAGAAATGCCTATACCTTCGGGAAGCATTTGAAAGTAAGAACCATCCGCGGTGGAGCTATATGCAAATCGTTGATGGAGTGGAATTGACCTCGTGAAGGCAGGGCACCGCTGTGTGTAAGAACCAACAGGAACTTGAAAGTGGATTCCTGTCATCTTCGTAGGAGAATGGTAGCGGCAGATCTTGTTCAATCCGACTCCGGCAACCGGCTCGACAAAATACGTGATTGCAATTGAATGTGGTTCTGGAACCATGGACATGCACCCGCGCCATCAGATCGGCTTCAAGTACTGTGGGTCTCTGATAGGCGAGGTAGAGGCATGGCAATCGCCATACAATGCTGGAACAGCAGCCTCGTGCTGATCCTGATGTCGCAACCTCACAGGGCTTTGACGCATTTCAGGATCTATCGCGCCCCAGCTTCCGAGCCATATTAATATACTGAATGGAGTTCCGGTCAGAGTTGAGGCAGATATCAAACTCGTGGTAAGGTGTTAGCCGAGAAACCGGTAAGCGCGAATCTTGGTGAGAGTATCTGGCTTCGAGGATCATGTGCACCTAGGTTGTTCAACCTCGATGCCTTTCGCGGAGAGATGTTGTTGAACTTCCTATTGCCCACTCCGCGGCACATCAGTTGTAGGCTCTAAGTGAGCGAAAAGATGATACTTGGGGGGAGCACTGGAATTTGGGGGCGTGCTCCTCTGAGAAGTTACGATATCGGAGTGCTGGGATCTAGACGCTGATAGACGGTTGTAGAGATGTAATAAACCGATGATCGAATTGCCTGCCGAATTAAAGTTTCGAGGTGGCCTCGATTCGATGTCCAGGTACGTTGAGCGTACCTTTTGGAGAAAAACTTGATGTGATCACGAGGATCAATCAGAGTTTGTTGGTCCAGACTGTGGACTACTGACTTCGGAAGCAAGATTAGAAAGACAATTCTGACTCCAAAATAGGAAATCGCATCGATTATCTGAAGGAGCAGCCTTTACATAAATACTAGTATTAATGCTGCTCCACCATCCTCCTAATATCGCTCCACTGACAATCGTCTGCTATATGTACATTCCACACGAGTGCAGCCTGTAATATAGATCTTCACCCGAACTCTGATCATCTATCATTTTCTCTCCGATATCGACTCCATCACTTTCTTACTGATCTCCCCCCGTCATACTGCCAAAATTATGATCCGCTTTGAGGGCATGTCTCCAGACGTCATGGAGGCAATCTGTACACCCATGCACCAAATTCTTCCTTTTCAATTTCAATCCCAGTCCATACAATCCGTGGCTCATGCCTCCAGTTCCCAACCCGGGTTCTTGTATCTCGGCTCCATGTCTGCAACGATGGATCGCGAGTTGCTCGCTAAAAACCATATCACTCATATCGTACAAGTACTCGACGTCCCCTGGCTTCCGATATCAGAAAAGGACGGCTTCCGGTGCCTCCGTATAGACATCCTTGATAAACCATCCGCTGACCTTCGTCCGCACCTGGAAGGAGCATGCCAGTATATTGCTAACGCACTGCGAAGTGGTGGGAACGTTCTGGTGCATTGCCAGCAGGTATGCCTCCCTCGAAATTTATTTAGCGTCAAGCCTGATCAGAGGTTCTCGTGCAACAGGGTGTCTCACGCTCTCCAGCCATAGTCATTGCTTATCTCATCCACGATCTTGGGATGTCATATGAGCAGGCATATGCCCTGGTCAAACGTTGCAGACCCTGTATTAATCCCAACCCTGGTTTTGTTGCCGGTCTTCGTGCATGGGAAGAGAAATGGCGAGCGTCCGCGCCGCCGCCACCACCACAGCTGCGGAGGTTCAATACCTCCTATGCACCACCTCCAGCAACTCCTATAGCTGTCAGGCCGCTCGCAGGCATCCCAAAACTCTCCAGGGGCACGAGTTACAGCGGTCATTGTAAATCCGGGAGTACTTCAGTCTCTTGATCTTCCTTGCTATCGTTATGGCATGGGTCATGATCTATCACAAAATCGCTGTCGCAAAATTATTGCGAAACACCATGGTGTTTTCGCGCCTCAGATTCCTCGTTACCTGCATATCCTCTTATATTCATCGTTCCTATACATCCTAGCATCGTTCACAAATACGCATCACTATCGCTCTGCTATCCTCGCTTTTCAATCCTGCACTGTTGTCCAGACGTACGCCATACCCCCATTTACATCCTTTACTTCATGCATACCCCATACTTGGATTTCTTAGGGCTGGGCTGGGTATCATCAAGCATTTCGCTTTGTTTTTTTCCCTCAGGTAGTGAAATTTTAGGGGATCGGGTTGTCTTGTACATTTCTGTAAAAGTTACTTCGCTCAGACGGCTATACAAACCAACCGAAATAATTCGGACCTACTCACAAATGTATCCACCTCGGCAAACATGCCTTATCAGCCGACGTTCGACATTTGGGATCAAGTTTTAAAAATTCCACTTACGATCTATGATATCAGGAGAAAATTATTTGCAGCGTCATACATGTTTCCTCGTGCTCGACGCAGATTGATCGTGATACGCCTGGGCCAAGGATGCAAGAATGGGTATCAGACACTCGAATCCGTAGCAAAAGTAAATCATTACCCACCTCACTACAAGAGCGATTCATCATGTGACAGCCCCTTGACAGGTAGAATGCACCTGAGCGGAAACAATAGTGCACGTCGGTCTGCATAATGCTTCAGTACCTGACCACCGTGAATTAGTCTGGGCCATTGAAAGTTGAATTCTTCCATAGCTCTGGCCAGGTTGGTCCAGGCTGGTCCAGATCTGCCCTGAGTTGCGCAGGCAGCGGTGCATAAAGGAAACAAAAATGCGCGTTAGCTATTAGCATGGCATGTCGACCCAATAGCCACCGAGCCCGTGATTCAAGTGCAACATGCATACACGAAAAAATGTGCTCATTTGGAACAAGGCCCAGTCAGGAATACTGAGCGCTACTGTCATAATCAACAATTTGGTCCATTTCCCGAAGGCCGACTGTCAATCTCTGTCAATGTCGCAAAGGGAGAACACATCTTAGCGCCCAGACTTGTGCGATTTAACAGCTCTGGCAGAACCGATTATCCTGCCCATGACAGTAGTACTTAATTACGTACTTTTAACAACTGTTATTCACATGTCAGCAAGTCAAGCTTCAAGCCTGTGCATGACATCGTAGTCCATCCCTGGTGACTGTTAAGTGTGATTCCGTGCATTGCATAGCAAAGTGAGGCTAAGTAACAGGCGCAGGTCATACTCTATCACCGGGCTCGACTAAGTTAGCACCCAGGTTATCAGGTATTGCAAGTGTTGGATCCGCGTCGTGTATCATACGGCCACCAAACATCACACCGCCTTGAGAAGCACGGAAAGCATCGATACGGGCCTCCACTTCTGGGCGGAAATGCCGCATGAGGCCCTGAATGGGCCAAGCGGCAGCATCGCCGAGAGCACAGATGGTCCGGCCCTCTACTTGTTTACTGCAGAGAACAGTGAGTTGAGAAAAGCTGTGCAGCGATAACTTACGTGAGCTCAAGGAGCATATCAATCTCACGCCTATGAGCGCGGCCTTCCACCATGCGATTCATCATGTTCATCATCCACGTCGTGCCCTCCCGGCAGGGCGTACATTGTCCACAAGACTCATGTTTGTAGAACTGGTAGAAAGTTAAGTATAATAGAAGCATGAGCAAAACACAAAGCCCGTACTGAAGAGAACCGTGCAATGGCAGATACTATGTCCGTACTCTTGTCCATTACGATGACGGCACCCGTCCCAAGACCCGACTGTGCGTCCTTCAAAGAGTCATAGTCCATCAGAACTTCTGAGCACTTGTCGATGGGCAGGACTGGGACGGAGCTTCCACCAGGAATGATACCGAGTAGGTTATCCCAGCCACCTCTGACACCTCCGCAATGCCGCTCGATAAGGTCTTTCAGCGGGATGCTCATCTCCTCTTCGACAACACAAGGGTTGTTAACGTGACCACTGATGCAGAAGAGTTTTGTGCCTTGATTGCGCTCACGACCAAAGCTAGCGAACCAAGATCCACCACGACGGCAGATAGTAGGTGCCACCGCAACAGTCTCGACATTAGCAACAGTGGTGGGGCATCCGAACAAGCCAACATCTGCGGGGAAAGGTGGCTTTAGTCGGGGCTTGCCTTGCTTGCCCTCGAGACTTTCAATTAACGCAGTTTCCTCGCCGCAGATGTATGCACCAGCTCCGCGATGGAGGTATACATCAAACGAGTAACCGGAACCGCATGCATCTTTGCCGATGAATCCACCTTTGTACGCCTCATCGATAGCTTGCTGAAGGTGAGAGGCCTCCTGGAAAAATTCTCCACGAATGTATATGTAGGCTGCGGTCGCATTCATGGCGCGGCCGGCAACCAGACACCCTTCCACCAGTTTGTGTGGGTCACCACGAAGAATCTCGCGGTCCTTACAAGTTCCCGGTTCTCCCTCGTCGGCGTTGACAACTAGGTAGCGGGGCCTGCGCAAAAACGACAGGTGAGTACCGAACCGGACGAAACGTTACGATTCAAGAACATAAATACCGTTTATCCTTTTGCCAATCTGGCTTGTTCATAAATGACCATTTGAGACCACTTGGGAATCCGGCACCACCCCGACCTCTGAGCCCTGAATCCTTGATTGTTTGAATGATCCAAGAGTCACCCTTCAAAAGAATGTCTTTCGTGCGATGCCAGTCACCACGAGACTGTCAGAAACAGCAAGACAAATGAACACGAAATAGTTGCATAAGGACATTAGACTCACTAAGGCGCCCTTGATACCATGGTCATGTCTGCAATATGCATTCGTGAAGATGCGGTCCTGGTCTTTGAGACCGCCGTATCGGCGAACAGGCGGGTCAGCAACAGTTGCAAGACCACGCCTGATTGAAATATTGGCTTGCCGCTGAATTCTAGCGACCGATTTAGAGGCTTTGAGCATATTTGAGCCTGTCGCTGTCGTCGGCGGTGACTACTCTGAACCAAGTCCTTCGAGTTCGGAACGATATGTGTTTATTGCTGTTGACAAAATTGAGTGGAAGTGGCTTAGTCAGCGTGTGTGACCGTCCCGGGCGTGTCCGTATTCGTCGAATCAAAAGCCTGAGAATACGATTCGCCGTTCGGTGGGCCAAACATATGCGACATGTTTCAGATAATCTGATAGACATATTTTTATGGAGTACTACTAGCAGCCTCTGTTGCGCTACAATACTGTAGGTACCGACTGTATTAGATACTAGCTGTTGTAACTTTTTTCGCAAATGAATTATCCTGCTAGTAGACGGGGAAGCAGGCAAACATCGCCGACGTTTGTCTGATTTATGTAGTACTCTATAGATAGGGAGAGAAGTACTACCCTTAAATATTGGATAGGCTGAGCGACGACTCTTAAAAGAACAAACCAGGACAATAAGTGTGAATTACATGGTGTTGACAATATCAGAAATTACTGCTGCTCCCTCAGCTCCTCTTCGAGGATCGCATCTGGGTCCCGACCAGCGACCTCGGGCAAAAGGAAAGTACAAGCTGCAAATGAATTTGTCAGTCACTGTCGCAGAATGAAACTATGGTTTTCAGTACCGGCACCAAGAATTGAACAGCCGAAGAAAACTGTGGGGAAAAAATTGAGTTGCTAGCACACATTGGTCAATTAACGACGTACTCCAAAGCACAGCAGGTGTACCAATCTTGTCTGTGAGGGAGTTGAATACGAGAGCAGATATGATTGCTCCTGTTTTCCCGCAAGCCGCGGACATGCCGTGTGCAAACGCTCGGTATCGGGTGGGGAACACCTCAGCGGGATAACACTGTGAGTTCCGTCAGTTGTATCTGGCGTGCAAACGTGCATGACAACGCACATAGGTGGTGCTACGCAATGGTCAAGTCAGAATGGAGTATGTTCTAGTTGAACGAAGAACTCACGCATTGGCTCCAAAGTTGAAAAAGAACTCAATAAAATTCGATTTAGTCAAGATCTTCTATCAAACCCCTGTCACGCACCTGGAGCAACGTAAAGTTTATTATGAACGCTGCAGTGCTCAAGCTATAGAATTTCCCAGCCAAGATGCCCACTGCAGCACGCCGTCAGCAGAGATTCCTCTAGAGTATTTGTAACGACCCACAGAACAGAGCTTCCATCAAGAATCCCATTACCTGAATGGTCTTGCGGCCAAGCTTCTCGATGGTGAGCACAGTCACGTAGTAGCCTTTCTGAAGTGAGTGATCATGTCAAGGAAGATGTAACTACACATGTACCTGGCACAAATCCTAGTGCGGTGATGATGATGTTTCCCGTAGCGACCTTGAAGAGCTTCTCCCAGGGCGTGCCTGTTTTGCCGGCGTAACCTATTTCAGAAAGCACCACGTTTGTGTTCAGATTGATCCCATAGAAACTAGCACCATCATGTCAGAAGGAAACATATTCGAAGATCGGGACCCGGCGTACGCGACGTCTAGTAGAAACCAGCATGAACAAGTTCCGATAAGTATCTTCAGGTGTCTCCATTCGGAGAAGTACTTGATGACCTCTAAAACATCCATGAGACCAAGGAAGAGATTCGACAAGGAACCATACCTAGGACGTGAGACTTCTTTGGCACAGAAGCTCCTCTATCTACGTTCAAGTCAGATTCAGTAGCATGAACACCAACTTTGACCCCCATCTTCTCCTTCTCCAAATCATCCTGTTCAACCACGTCTACCCCCTGCGACTTCTTGTAACGCGTGGACTCTGGGAGTGTCAAACGCTGGTAGAGTGTGCCGAAGGCCGGAATGAGCGACAATCCAATGACGATCCTCCACACTGGGGTAAACTGTCGATCAGCAACATCATGCAACTTAGTACACGACACGCACCTCCGTCGACCTTGGATGTCTCATCTTCATCATTCATGACATGCTTGTAGCATGCCAGAACGATAATAGTCACCAGCGACCCCACGAAGCTACCCCATCCTTGATTCGCGAAAATGTATGCGAGCATGGTTCCACGCTTACGGATTGTGGCACGGTCGCTTGTCACGGAGGCCGACATGGGGTAATCGCCACCGACACCCACGCCAAGTAAGATACGAAATATCGTCAAGTAGATGATGCATCCGTTTGGGGAGAGCGAGCCTTGGTAATAGCTTAGCGCTAGCAATACGAATGGAGAATCAAAGGACATACCTGTAGGTGTAGAAATGCAGAGGATAGTTGCAATGATGATGAGCATAAGCTCTTTTCCATCTGTCAACACACATGAATGCGGATGCTAGCAAGAAAAATGTAAAGAACTGACAGATTGCCTTTCTCCCGAAAGCATCAGCACAGTATCCTGTACCATTACGAAATTAGTATGGCGTGATAAAGCATGATGTATTACACAGCTCACCAAACAGAAACTGGCCGATCACACTTCCGATGTTAGCAGAAGCTTTCAATAATCCTTGCAGATTGGCGGGCATGGTTCCACCCGGGTAAAGCCTGTATTGCAACATAGTAGATACGGGCTGCGCAGATTGATTTAGTCCCATACGCCACCATATGAAATAACGCACTTACATTGATGATGAACAAGTCATAAGCTGATCGATAAAAATATGAGAGTTTGCATTCGAGAAGGACCAAGTACCTACCATCCAAGAAAAAGCCAACCTGGACGACAGATAAGTTTACGCAAGGCGGACGCGACACTGATGGCACTCACCCCAGCGATGCCCAGGAGTTTCGCCTCGGCATATGTCAGAATGAAAGGGGGCCTGCCCTCACCAGATTGCTCATACTCCTCGAGGGCAGCTCTCTGGCGAGTATCATTGCTTCCTGCGGCTTGACCGGACATCCTAGTGCACAGATAGGAAAGGGATCAATGATGCAATATTTGTACCTACTCGGCCGGGCTTTTATTAAGTGTGGCGCTGGCTCAGGCCCAGGATCAACTAAGCTCCAAGGTTCTGTCGCGAAGCGCAAACGTGAGTGATAAACGCTGGTGGCAGTATAGTGCCACGCGTCCGAGTCTGTAATCACAAGTTACATTCCCCGCTCCATTTCCGATGAAGTTTTCAGCTTCAGCCTAGCTCAGCCTGCCTTACAGCAAGCAGTAGTATGAATCGGAGAATCACGGTCACATTGTAATAATAATAAAGTGTCACCATGTGCTGCCAGGTGCTGCCAAGACTGCCGCACAGAAAATTACCGAATCAGTGTCAACCGTAGGCAACAAATCGCATATGACACATGCGTTGGAAATTCAAATTTGAAGCTATGCTGACAACCGAGAAGCATGATTGATCTGCAGCTTAGAGTAATTATCACTGATCATGATAATCTGGCAATCCTCGCATACTGTTATGTGTGATAGATAGATCAAAATACTGATATGCCAGGTGACTTATTAAGCTCATAGCGTCTATATCATTGGCCGATATCTTCCGATATCTACAAAAAAGCCGGGTGCTCCGGAGTGAGGAATATTTCTGACAGTATTTTGAACGTCTGCTGTCACGTAGTAGCATGTGACCCGGGCTATGGAGCTACGTTGCTATGTGGCTATAACAGGGCCGGGAGCCCGCTCTATCGCGATTCAGATTGGCTGCAAAACATAGGCTGCAGCCTGCAAGTACTGTGCACACGTTCTTGACTGTTGATTGATACTACAGCATCATGCTTTTCGGGGCAGAATGACACAAGTCTGGTAAGAACCGTCTCAGAGAAGGCCTAACACTGCCCGTAGATCGTTCAATCATCTTGCAAACGTTTGACAATTGACATACGTACTAACAATATTTCACTGCAGTCAAAAACAAGACACAGCCCTAGAGAGCGGAAACCGCGGGAGTAGGGTCCTAAAATGCGTAATGTATATGCCAAAATGTATCCGTGATGCTGTGCCCGCAAAGAACTACGAGGTCACCTCGTGTCTGATGTACGCCTCCATGGAAACTGCTCCAAAGGGAGGGAATTACTTGATCAGCACAGAGCGGAACAAATCGTGGACAGGTCGTAGATCGACGGTAGATAAGATACAAGGCAGCACTGCACCAGACAGGATTAAAAATGGTTCAACAAATGCAAGCATAAACAGACACACGTTGTAAGCATGGAGGCATCCCCGAGTCAGCTATTGTGGTTCGTTGAACGAAAAGCGCGAGGTGCCGCAGCAGTGACGTTTCCATAAATGAACTCAGTGTGCAACCGCGCTCGAGAGTCAGGAAAAGGAGTGTGTGCTCAATCGGGAGACATACAGAATTACAGATTGGGTGCTCGGTCGATATAAACGGGCGCAAACTATTCTAGCACAACGGTCTGGTCAATTTGTTGATGCATGTGAATAAGAATAATGGCCTCGAGCAGTGAATAGTACATACGATATTTTGGACCAGAAGATGCTACACTTCGTGAGGCATGATCGTGCATTGCTTTCATGTAAGACAGTCATTTGGATCGTCTGCGGTACAGCCTGAATACTCGACGAATGGATGAATACGAGGCGAATTGGAAGCTGACTTCTTCTCCCAAGATCGCGACGCCATAATGCATGCAGGACACGTTATTCTAGATATGTTGTTGTAACAGTCAGCCCTGAAATACGTGTATGATACCATCCTGCCTTTGTGAGGCCTGCTACACCAATAAGTTCATACTTGGAAAATTGCTTCAAGCATAGTCAACGAGAAAGGTATCATGAACATCTAAATTACATACCAAGAAGTGACAACGCGTGTAGGGTCAACGCTAGTTTACTATTGGTTAGTACTGTGTCAGGTTTAAGTTGCAGGTCGTGTGCCTTCTGTCAGGGCGAGAAGAAATCGGATTGCCCTGAAATGTTTCCGCGCGGTCATGGTGGAGGGTAACGTGCCATCGAGCAACTAGTACATAGAGAAAATTCACATGGTCGTGTTAATGCCGCCGGCTACCTTACCGGAATGCCTTAAAATGCCTATTAAAAGATTATCATACCTCGAGTGTGAAGTTAGCCCTTGAAATTTGTGTTACATGGTATCTTAAGGATGGGAACCTTTTCCTGACTCATCTGTGCTACACCTCTGCGACTCAGCACACGAAACCCACGATCCCTACACCAAGTCCACCTCTTGTGAAATGGTGCAGCTTATTCCGAACACCACAGCTGTTCGAGTGTTTGAAGATCATACAGACAACATAAACGCAGTGGCAGCTTTGCCAGATGGGCGGCGTATGATCACTGCATCAAAAGACAATACGCTCTGTCTGTGGGACTTGGAGTCAGGCGAAGTGTTGAAGAAAATGGAAGGGCATCGTGGCGCGCTGAATGCGTTGGCGGTATCACCAGATGGGAAATTGATAGCAAGCGGTGATACGAGAGGAGAGCTCATCGCCTCCCATGGAGAAACTGGAGAAACCCTCACTAGGCCCATCAAAGTTCACTCCGCGACAATCCTATCCATAGACTTTTCTCCAGACGGCGCGGCTCTGGCTACTGGTTTAGATGACGGAACGACAAAGTTTGTGAGCACGCGGACATGGCGGGTGCAAGGAAATCCAATCAAGTCTAGTTGTCTAGTTCGCTGCGTCCGGTATTCTCCGTCTGGCACACTCCTCGGGATTGCGACAAGGGAGAAAATCGAGATCTATAAATCAGGCAAGAGACAATGTGTCGCAAAGTTCAAGGGTCACCGTAAAACGAACTTCTCACTGGCATGGACTCCCGACGGAACACGCCTTCTCACAGGCGGCGATCATCAAGATCCCACCATACGAGAGTGGGATATATCGACTTGGAAGCAGGTCGGTGAACCCTGGATAGGTCACGCTACTGTTATCAAGGCTATTGTTGTCAATTCTGCTGGCACGCTCGTTGCGTCTGCATCTTACGACAACCATGTTCGTCTCTGGCGCCTCTCAGATCAGCGAACCATCGCCAGCTTCCAGCACTGTGCGTTGGTGATTTCCGTAACCTTCTCCATCGATGGCAGTCGTATCCTCAGCGGAGGTGTCGATAAGAAAGTTTCAGAGTGGGCTGTACCTGAGGATGCTTTGCCAGATGATAATCCAAATGGTCTGGCGCCGAAGGTACTTTTTTACGATTTCCTGCTCCTTTGCCATCTCATCTCGCGTCTTTTCGGAGGCTCCAGGCTCTGATTCAGAAGACGGTCCAAAAGATCTGGCACCAAAGGTACTTTCTTGTTGAATTCCCGCCCCTTCGCCATCTCACAACGCGTTTTTTGATTCCAAGGATCAAGGTTCTGATTCCAAGGCAGGTTTCCCCGATTCTATTATGCAACACAAATAAAATATTTGCCTGCTAGACCGTCGTCGCAATTCAGACTGTCGTCACGGTTCAGACCAATGTCATCACCAAGACTGCCCGCAATACGCGCGTGACAGAGGTCTTATCTACTGCTGAAATGGTACTGACCGAAACTTTCGACGCCGGCATCAACAACTACGCGTCCTATGCTAATCGCTCTTTCGTTATGGCGCGCAAATCCGACTGGGACTGTGCGCTTCAGGATGCAATCAAGGTGACAACGGCTCATCGTGCCCTCATACAAATATCCTGATTTCGATCGTAACATAGTCCCTCACCATACATCCCTCATTAGCAGGCTATATTGCCCAGGGTATTGCCCTATGTGGAAAACAGCTTGTCGAGGACGCGAGAGCAGCCTTTGAACTCGCGTTCACATTTACAGTCGGCAATTCAGATGCTACTCTTTTCCTTTTCTTGATCAAGGTAGGTTGAATTTTTCCTGCGTACTCCGTACTTCATTATAGGTCTCAGGCTATCGCATTGTTCAACGCAAATGAACACAGCGAGGCAATGCTTTGTGTCGAACAGCTGGCTACTGATTCAAATGCCGATCCCCTCGTTTGTCGTGTCGTGGAGGTAAGCATCGTGCACTCGTGTTTATGTGTTCATTAATGTATCTGTGCTTCGTATATCAGGCAAGTCTGAGAGTTCAACTGGGAACCATTGCCTTCAATGGCGCGCATCACAATGAAGCTGTTGAGCACTTCACTGCCGCTGTCAAGGCTAGCACTTTCTTGGCTAAATCAGCCACTCCTTCTGCATGCAAGGCTTTCACTGTGGTATGTCGATATGATGCAACCAAACATCCCTTTCATGTCCAAATGCACTTTTTTGCAGCTATTCGGGTGGGAGCTCGAGTCATTGTGGCAAACTGCCAACGAGAAGCTATGTTTTGCACTCCTTAAAGCTGGAAGACTTGGAGAAGCTCTTGAATCGTACAAATATGGGATGGACGCAAGCGATGAAGCTACGAGGTCCGGCTTACGTGCGTGGATCTTCAGTAAGTCTCTTAGTAATACCACCTATGCCACGGTTCTCAATTACCCTTCACTTAGCCATCTCGTTATAACGAATGTTCTACCCACTCACCGCGACCGGTTACACATGCATTTTGAAAACACGGAAATCTTTTTATTTAGCTTTCAAGTCAGAGTGAAGCACCCTACATGCTGCCAACTGAGATGCAGTCCTCGAGCAGTTACATACGTATTTAAGAACACGGACAGTTACTTTAACATTAATTGTATTTCTCTGTACTCTTATCGTATATTGGCGAGCTCGTGACTTGAGTGCATATCCAAAATTGTAAATTCTCAACTCAGTGATGCTGCGGAAATTGCGTTTGGTCGTGACGAAGCGGATAGATTGCTCAAGGAACTGACTACAGCGGGTGCTTGCTAGGTACTGTCCATGATAGGGCAAGGCCCAACAGATAATAAACAAGGATCCAAAAAAATCAACTGATACCTCACGCGAGAACACTAATCTCGATGTTCAGCTCGCAAACGGCTGCCGGCCCTGTTCCCGCCCGATCGTATCTTCAATACAAACCACGAATTGCAGGACAGCGTACAGTTCTGCTGCGTTCGAAATTTGCCATTCATTTGCCACCTGGCAAATTTTATTTGCAGTCGCAACAGACTAAGATCCAACTATGTGGAGTCAAGCGATTCTTAGAGCGACTGGTCATGAAGCTTCCTCTGCATCTAGCTGCCCACCCACAGTTGCCCAACAGTAATGCCCGCATCCGGCTGCACATAGATGGCCCGCCAGTGTTCTCTCCCCCCGGCTCTCAGAGCAAGTAACCTCCTCTCCCTCCTCACCATCACCATCACCATTTCGTTCTCTGATCAGCGAACGCCCACGTGTCGATAAAGAGGTTGGGATATCGACCATCGGACGCCCCATGTGATACCGCCTATAGCACTCCTGGTGGCCACCATGCGTGCAAACAGAACATTGGAAAAGTAGTGTGCGGACGGGAAGATGACTAATGACGATGAGTTCTCAGCGTGCAGAGTAACATAGAGTACTTTGACTGACCATATCGAACACTTCACAACTGCACTTTTACATGTCGTACATAATGCGTGAGCTCCTGTCACCGTTCGGGCGCGTGAAAGAAGGATAGGTTTTCGACAACGTCCGCAGGCAGTGTAAATGATGGTTTCGAGCTAAAACTTATGTTCAACACCGTCCCCGCCCATCAGCTAAACAGGACCTACCTTGGTGGTATTTGAAACATCCTCGAAATTGCTGCATTTACGTAAGTACGCAGCACAAGTGTGCAGTCGGAGGCGAGTGAGTAGTTCTTGCGGGTATTGGTTTAGCGTTCGTGACAGGCAAACAAACATCAAAGCTCACCGATATATGCCTCTAAGAATTGCAAGCCTCTCCTCCGGCTGATTCCCAGTTCCTTCGCTGCAATGAGCGCCAGCATAGCGCACATCTGAACATCACCCTGATTTTTGTTCCATCAGATATTATGTGAGACCACCTCAAAATATCCCTTACTGTTTCTGCAAATTCTTCAACTGCCTCCCTTAGTGCGTGCCATGCTGCCTCGCGAAGCTGAGCTTCCTCTTCCATTACAATACGACGTCGAGATTCAGTCATACCACGCCAGGCTTGATGATTATCCGCGTCCGCCTGCGAGACATCCTCATCACGATGTATGAGCCCAGTGTTTTGCTCCTGTTCGCGGGCAGATCCGACTGTGACTGTGCGAATGCTGCTGTGGCTTGCCTTCTTTACCAAATGAGAACTCTCAGACGCTGGCTGCGCAGGAGATGGTAGTGACGCAGTAAGAACAGCGACGGTGGCACTCCGCGTGCGACTCTTCAGTCGTTTGGCGTTCGAGCTCTTTCTGGAGCGTATCTTCGCCACAGAAACTACTTTTACCTTGACCTTCCGTGGTCTGGTACTACACTCCGAGTCACGGCCGCTATGTCCTTCGCCGTCAGTATCCGTAGATCCAGGCGACGGACTGGCCTCATCGTCCTCATGCTCCTTACTACCATCATCCTCATCCTCCGTCCAACGTTGCCCAGCGAGTCTGGAGAGTGGGCTGGGATGCGCTGGGCCTGTACGGCCCATGCTAAGACTCCTCGACTTTGATATTATGGTTTGTCGAGGGATATCAGGCGGTGCATCTCTTTCGTTTTCACTATGGCTATCCTGGGCATCGGCGCTCACCACTGCGCAGTTTTCACTGCCGTCTGACGAATCTGAGTCATCCAGGGCGCCTTCACCTACGTGACGGAGGCTTCGGTCGCTCGCACTGACACTAGGTGTGCTAGGGGTCTCGCTGTAGGCTGTAGGCGTGCGGTTATACACAGACGGCCGCCGCACATGTCCCTGTGCCTGTGCCGCGGTGGAAATAAGAACTGATGGACGACGAGTTGTAGCAGGCGTCATGATTGCCGAAGGCGGGAGTGCTGACGCTGGCGGAAGGGAAGTAGGTATGTGGCGAGGCGATGAGGATGTAGACGACGCAGGCGTCAAGTTTCGTGAATTAGGGGGTGGCTTAGTTGTGGGCAGGGCGTCTCGCTCCCCTTCACGTTCTCTCGATGCAGAGGTTCCGCTGCTATTTTTCGATGTGGAGCGTTTGTCTTCAGGGTGAGGTTGAGGGTATGTCTGACTGGATATATGTGGTTGAGCGGGGGAAGTGGAAGTATGGCGTGTCTGTTGGATCATCTTGGAGACAGAATCTGACGAGGCAGCACGGTATGAGGTGGGTTTTGAGGTGGATCCTGAAGCATGTGGTCCAGATCTTGTGCTAAGTGTAGGGATGGCAGCAGGGGCTGAAGCAGAGTGCGTGAGGTGCATGGTAATCTGATGGCTCTTCTCCGAATGAGGTGAAGGTTTAATGTACTCCGGAATGATGTCGGTAAGCAGAGAACCAAGTAGCAACCATACTTGTGCTGTGTGCACGCTTCCTGCTTCGATAGACGCCTATGGATATTTGTTCACTTATAGACACGCCCCGTACGGAAAGAGCACTCACCTCGGCGTTTACCTTGCAAACGGCGGTCCTGTTCCTCCCGTCAGACTCGACAAGGTACTTTCTTGCCAGGTGCTCAAATGACCCCCCAGATTCTGGATCACGAAGCCCTCCGCGTACATACATACCCATAGTCTGCAGAATGGGCATGCGAGGCTTGTCACCAAGGCATTTTAGTTTGAGCTTTCGTTCAGAAAGTACGTGTCGTTTGTCAGGGTGACTGCATCACAAATGAGAAAATAGCTGCGACATAAAGTGGAGAGTACGAACATATCGTCGTAGGGCACTTCCCATCTGGCCCTCCTGTCTGAGACAAAAGCTAATGTTCCGTCGGTATCTCCATCGACACCAACATTCCAAGAGAGTGCCACGCGCGGAACGGCATCAATAGGGCGTACAGACCTACGTAAGTCAACTTGAGCAAATGTTCCAGATGCATGCTGCACCCAAAGCGCATGCGAATCACGAAATATGGCATCTGCAGATGCGGGGCACCCGTGTGGTTACTTCAATGAGACCTGACGTGATTTGAATACATACCAGTCACACCCCCCTCCGACACGCTCACTTCAACAGTCCATTTAGCAATCCAACCACGTCTTACATCCCATATCTCTACAGCATCTGCGCCGTTACTTTTGGGATCCTTGTCTTTAGTGACAGAACTGGAGGCATTGATGAACGCTGGAGTCGCGGACTGTAGTCGAGGGCTGGCTAATAGCTCACTGCCACTCCCTCCGCCAAAGTCCTCATTGGACACGAGTGCAATCTCGGAGGGAAACTCAGGACGCCAGAGTACTCGGCGTACAGGGAACGACGGATGTAGGGTATAGGTAGGCTGATGCGCAATATGAACGGACGTGCCAGATGTAGCAAGGTCCCATACCTGATGCTCATAAGTAAACGTAGCGCAATAGTGCAAAAAACCAACGTGCTTTGACAGTGTGGTCCAAACCTCCGCTGACTATCCAGCTCCTATCGGCACCAATAACATCCCCGGCATTATTGGAACCTGGAGTGCTACACCAGTCCAATGCGAGAATTGGACCTGTATGTGCGACAGGTAACCTGTCGAGCTGACCTCTCTGGCCCATTTGAAGATCCCAGCGATAGATTGATCCGTTGTCAAGACCTACAACAGCTTGAAGGGGATGGGATAGACATGGCGAAAAGACAAGAGAGCGAACAGAGGTTGGATGGTGGATCTTCATGATGGACTTCGACATATCCCGAAGATCCTACGCGAAAGTGAGCTACCGAGGAGGTCGGCACACGATAAGTACACACCCAGACACGCATATCGCCATCAGCAGAACCTGTAACACAGTAGTACGGAACTATAGTGGAACAGGATAACTTGTGAATCGAACGGATATGAAACTTCGTCTTCCTTTCTAACGGTATTTGAGATGTAGAATCTGATATCAGACCAGTCTACGCACCGTACTTGGCATTACCAGCTCTGTTGAGGTCCCACATAATGAGGTCCCCATTCCGCGCGCTTGTGAGAATCTTGTTGTTATAACCTTCAGAGGAGGAAATGGGAATGAAGCGCTGAACACCGTAGGATCTGTAACCGCTTACTGCCATGGCACCAGGCAACATCAGTACTTGCACTGTCAATCTTCAAGCCACTTCCATCCCATATGTTCCGCGACGCTTCTATACGATGCCCACCGCGACCAATAGAGGCTTTGTGGTCATTATTTATGATATCTTCTGGATCAGACAGACGCAAGATGCGCAAGGCTAACGATAATTTTGAATTACGCGTCAATCTCGTGCTACACAAAATATTGAAAAGTGGCTCACATTCTCGTCCTGCAACAACGCATCTTAAACCATCGTCGCTCTTCGCAATCGTCCCTCCACCATTGGTTGTTGCACGGTGTAAGCGGACATTTCTCACTGGTCCTTGGTAGCCATGTTTGCGCGAGTCCGAGTACAGGTCCGCCGTATAGCCTACGAGAGACAATGGTACTGCAGAATTTAGCGTCGACGCACGCCTGGGGACTGTTGATTGCATGTCCCAGAGCCCGTTGAAGTTCGATGAATCAATCCGACAAGGTGTTATTGCTTGCCATTTTAGGCAACCATCCCTAGTTCTTTGTCAGTGACCGGTTGACCAATGACCATATCCCAATTATGTAACTCCCGGTCAGCCTCGTTATCATGTCTTTGACTTCATTTGTCCGGTACCAACACCATGCCATGAAGGTGGGAGGCTCACAAACAAATTGAGAAAGCATTGTACCGAAATGTTGCTTTACCGCTACGGCTCGTATACTGTCTGCTTCATACCCTTCCAGTGCAACTATATTCTCGTAGCATCACGTCTAGTAGGCGCCAGTTCCTACCCATTACTAAAAGAGACGGACCTCTAAAGCTGGTTGTTGACTCAATTCAACCCCCCCATAGTTCCTCTGAACAGTATCTAATTTCAGCTACAGGTGTCACCGTTACCAGCCTGAGGGTCCACAACTAATTCATTTGTCTCACTATTGCCAGTCCACACCTCTGACATCAGACAATCATGACCGATAGCTACCTCCTGCAGCTCTAGTCCTCTCCCGAAGCCTGTCGGACTTTAGGTCAAGTACGCCCTTTCAAGATATTGGAGCGATGGTCTTCCCATATCCTGCGCTGACGCCTCCAGTGATACTCTCAATGAATACACCCGAATATGTTAGCGCCTCGGTATCACCCTCCTGGATACCGAAATGCACAACATCGCCCTGCTGCGAAGCTGTTTCATTGGGATCCGCGAGTGGAAGCTACTTTGCAATTCGACAACCCTTTATCGCGTCATATAATAGCTTACTTACCTTTAGTACACCAAAATGATAGTCGCCTTGGCCAGCTGCACCGGGTGAAGCGTTCGAATTCTCCATGAGGCTAGTGACAGCCTTCAGTAGCTCTCCATTGGTAGAATAGAAGACGCCAAGGGTAAGATTCGTCCAGTCGATCTGGACTGCAAAGTTATGCCAGTCGTGGGAGGTAAAGGGCGTTTCAAACAGAAGGTCAAGTGCATGGTTGCGGACTTTCAGAAATCGAGCATCAGAGACAGGTACAGTGCCTGTAGGGATGGTGAAAGGTGAACCTATATCAGGCTGTGTCAGGGGGGAGATATAACAGCTTTGGCATCATGTAACACTGACCGAACTGTATTTCGAAGACGTGGCTTCCATCATTAGGCTCAATCCAGACGATCTGGTACTCATGGCTCATATTCAAAGGTTTCTCCAACTCCTCCATAATGGATACATGGAACACAGTGGTTCCTACATCGGCAATAGCGTTTAAGGCGGTATGGTTCCCATCCTTTTGCGCAATGAGATCCGTCCTGCGGAAACCGTTTTGAGGCGTGCCACTTCCAGGGACGAAGACAGAGGTATTATCAATCGAAATAGTTATCGGCTGCTCTACAGGAGACCCCGGATTGGGTGACCACAATGGGGTGGCATTGAACGCGTGCCCAAGGAGTTGAGTATACTGCGAATCGGTTATTTAGTAGTCGATCATCACCAAGTAGGATACAACCATACATGTGAGGCATTCATATTGCCTTTCACTACTCTGCAGCGAAGTTAGCCCGCGTTTGGCGAAGCAGCAAACGAGACGATATTTACGATAAGTAGGGGTCCACGGAATTGTCCAGGTCTTCAATGGTATAGTTGAAGGGGGCGCGGCCGTCATAGATTAAAGGGGTTGCCGAAGTAAGTGATACAAGAGCAGCGAAAGCGAGGACAGTTGAGCGTAGCATCTTAACCGTTCAATGCCAGCTTGAAACCCAAGGCGAGAAATTTAAAGAATAGCATGCCACCTGCCAGTGCGCATTTATCGGGCTAAAGGAGAAGCTAGGAATAACTATTAGCATACATCGGTTACAACATTGCTGCCGGGGGGAGAAGGAAACGGCATATGAGAAGAAGTCTGCATAACGTGACGATTGAGAGTGCTCGTTAATTTGGATCAAATGGCCCTATGGGATGAAGGTTTCTCCGTGAGGAGAATATCGCCCCTCCTCAAAAATGAGTTGTGATTACCAGCCACGAAGTCCGCCCAAAAATGAGCAGAGATCATCTCCATGGCCTAACGGGGCAAGTCGTGGACCCGTGGTACTCAGTAGGCTGTTAGCCTATCACGAGTCGACCGGTCACCACAGGCCACGTCAAATCAACAGCTGCCTGGTAGTCTTGTTGGCAAAACTCACGCGGAGGGTGACAAAGCTTGGCAGAACTCCAGACTCGCGGAGATGCAACTTAGATCTGATAATATATAGTTTAAATTCAATAGAACATATCCCTAATTTATGTAAGGCAAGTTCGGAGTACGAAGTTACACTTTTAGAATGGCGACCCACTTTACTTCCGCTGAGTCGACCTCTATCACAATGTTTTGTAAACCTAACGGTCGACGATCCTGTGGCATGATCAATACAATGGCTCATCGAGAACGACGTGAACATCTACCTTAACACTGTAGTACCCGTTGCTCGTTACAGCAAGTCACCACCTCTCTGCTCTGGAGTATCTAACGTGTTGCAAAGTAGCTACTAGCGGGTGTCCGAATCGTGACTATCAGCAAGCCGGACCATTCCAATGGCGATTATCATTGCATGCACCCTTATCATTATCTTAGCCAGCGTCTGGATAGTGAAACAACGATATCAGGCCACAAGGCGGTTGCCATTACCGCCCGGACCACCTGGACGTCGGCTATTGGGAAATACAATGCCAAAGTCATAGTAAGTCTCTGTCAAGGGACACCAACATGATCTCTATCTAACCCCTCACGCAGTGCACCGTTTCAATTCGCGAGATGGACAGAACAATATGGACCTATGTTCTCGCTCAAACAAGGCCATAGGATTTTCGTGATTATAGGACGTCAGCAGGTCAGCATGAAACAACACATTGTCTAGTCAGGCATGAAGTATATCACGTCACAGGCTGCAGTGGATATCATGGAAAAAGAGGGAGCAAATCTTGCCAACCGCCCGCGTTCTATTGCAGCGCAAGAGACGTTGACTGACAGGTTGGGACTGCTCCTTGAGGGCTCTGGTGAAATATTTCGCCGGTTGCGCTGGTACACATCTTGTCTCTACCAGGCGTGATCAGCGAGACTGAATGTAAAGCAGGGTCTTGCATGCAGGCTTGCAACCCAAGGTTGCGGAGACTTATGAGCCCATCCAGACGGGACATTCGAAGAATCTGGTTCTGGATATCTTAAATGATCCAAACAACCACCAAGGTCATGCCATGCGGTACGAACACTAGCTCTTGCTTGTGCGGTACAGGTGATAATCCGAGCATTTAAGTTATTCAGCTTCCGTGGTCATGTCCTTCACCTATGGAAAAATTACTCCGACTTCATATACAGATCCTGAAGTTGTTGCCGTCAATAAGAGTCTTGCGCGTTTTCATCAAGTTATCCGGCCGGGAGCATACCTTCTGGATACGTATGCAATCCTGCGTTTCGTCCCAGGCTACCTGAGTCAGCTGAAGGCATGGCACAAAGAAGAACATGCTCTATAACAGGCAGTTGGACGCGGTGCGAAGACAATTGGTTCGTGATTTTCTTATGATGATATATGTCCTCGCTCGCCACTGTGAAGCGTGAGGGGACTACGAGGCCATCCTTCGCGAGGTTCATCTTAGAGCACTAGAAACAGTACCAACTCGAAGACAAGGACCTGGGATACGTTGCAGGAACGATATTTGCGGCCGGTTCTGATGCAGTAAGCTCTTGCATTACATCGCGTCTTCACTTGACAACTGTTCGTCCGCAATCACAATTATGATGATGGCTGCTGCCACCCACACAGATACGCAGGCTCGCGTACAAGAAAAACTCGATAACGTCGTGGGGCGTACGCGGCGTAGGTTATGCCTTTTCTTTGTCCATCTACTAACTCAAATAGCTCCTGATTAGTGCCGACTTTTGATGATCAGGAAATGCTGCCGCAGGTTACCGCGTTCATGCTCGAGAGTTTGAGGTGGAGACCTGTCAGTCTTGGAGGTACGTCTTATTTGAGTTGTGATGACGCGATAACGAACGACCACCTTTCACTACAGGCTTTGCGCATCGCGCGACCAAGGACATCATTTGGAAGAACTACCTGATTCCGGCAGGTACGACTGTGATTGGGAACCATTGGTCAGTAGGCAATCATTTTCGTCCTCTCACCTTTGGATCTGATGCTCGTGTTTCAGGGCTATCGCAAACGATCCTGAGGTCTTCCCGGAACCACACACGTTTAATCCTCAGCGTTGGATTGACGATGCGGGTCGTGTGCGCGGTGATCTCCGATTTTTCACTTTTGGCTTTGGCCGCCGGTGAGTGGTATCGTTCATCTCTCGACCATTTGTTATGCCTTACTTGGAAATTTCAGAGTGTGTCCTGGTCAGCATGTCGTGAATCGGTCAGTCTTCATCACCACAGCTCTTATTCTCTGGGCTTTCCGCCTTTCGGAGAATCCTGCAGCAAAGATCGATACGCTTGCATTCTCGGACAGTGCAACATACGTGCTGCTCCGTTTGAGATATGTTTGGAGAAGAGGATCGATGAGAATGTGGTCAGGGAACTATGCGCACCGGGGGAGTGAACTTCTTTATGAACTCAAAAGTTCTTATGCAGGGTGACGTAGCGACTGAATTTATACAGGTTGTGTCTTTTGTTCTTTCTCTTCGTCCCAGATTTGCAGGGCTTTATTTTTGGAAGCAGTGACGATCCATCGATTGTCTTGGAGGAACGCGAGTGTTGTCGCTGTTTTCATGTGTGCTGGGGCCGGCGTCCCTCGCCTTCTCACCATAAGAAACGCTTCTTTTACCACATCGCGATGCAATCCTGACATCACTGAACAAGGAGATGGACGTCAATAGCGTTATTACTATGATGTTGTTTATTACCCGCAATTCCATCTATCCTGCTTTGCCTCTCCCAAAAGCTTTTGTCCTTGGCTGTCACGAGTTCTTGTCGAACATAGCTTAAAGCAAGATGGTGCACGCTGGAGAACGCCCCCTCGCGTCACTGATCAACAACAAAATTGAGCGCCTGGAACAAGTCCCGAACAACTCGCATAAATGCAAACATTGCGGAGACACTGGTAGCTCATCAGGTGCTCGAATTCAGGTTGTGACAACAACCTAAGCACTGTACAAATGCAACTACTCCTCTACGTCAAGCAGCGCACCTATTTAGTATGGAAAAGACCGGCGACCCCACTGTCTCTCAATTGTAGGGCATGCAGGCAAAGTAGAGCGCACATTCTCTGGTCTTGACAACACAATCCGTGCGACGGTGTAAGCTCTCAATTGAGACACTCATGCGAACCTTCGACACCACAGCGCCATAAAAGCCGCAGAGACCGGGAAGTCAACCCATCATCGACATACTCACATACACACTCGTGAAGAAGTTGGCATTGCTGTTGAGACTGTACAGGATCTTTTGCGTGGCCACCTCCGCTCTCGACCGAGACTGGCCTCGTGATACAGATGAACTCCTTGCCGGTCTGGCTGAGAGTATCTCACCGGGCGATGTCGCTGCTGAAAATTTGTGGCTCTCGAAGAGTTGAAGAATTGGAGGGAAATGCTTTTGATTTCGACCAGTTAGATCAGGTCGAACAAAGGCTATTCTACATGAGGTTGAGTTAATTACAATGGCGAGGATGCTTCGATGATGGGACGAGGCAACATTGATGTCTTTATTAGGAATGTCGTACACAGTGTGACGAACGCTCGAAGCTTCCGTTCTGACCACGGGCCAAAGCGAACATTGCTGAATTCAAGAACTGTATGGTCAGGGCATTCCTAGGGCTGCTCAAGGATAGGACCTATGTCATTATAATCAATAATCTGGAGGAAAGAATAATACAAGTACATCGACATTCGAGTCAGCGGCCACAAGTGACTATTCATTCGGATAGGCAGACAAGTCCTCGAGATATGCTAGCCTGCAGCTGAGTAGTACCAGGAAGTATCGTGCGATCTACGGGCGAGGAGCTGCAGAAGCAGCCATCATATTCTTGATGCTTGGTGATGTGAGCAAAAAGTGTTTGTTGGAAGTGACACGGGTATCAAGTTTCGAGGGGTAAAACGAGCAGTTTGTGAGACTCCCGACGGTAGCCTAGATGAAAGGGTAGATCATGATTTTGTCTAGCCGGTGCCAGTTTTGATTCCATGGGAATTCTGAGGATTCCCATGGGTCCTGGATTTATCGAATATCCGGACTCCAATGCCATCCTAGACTCGTGATTAGTAACTTTTCGTCTTTTGGGATACAAGGGAGTTGGAGGTTGAACGTGAGGTTGATCAAGAGGTGTTACTGTGGAGTTTCGTCAAGACTAGGTCATATAATCAAGAATTCTCACGGGGACCGGGAGCTGAGCAGTACTATTGTCGCTTTACTGGTTTCATCAAGAATCACTCCGTAGAAAAACAATTGTATGGAATCACACAAGTCTGTTGCCTTCCAATGCAAGGAAGACTGGTACATGGGAATTCAGCATGCGGTATCTAGTATTTGGTATCTGTCAAATGTATGCGGAGTAAAATACATTGAGCCTCATTCAATGAGTGCTAACGCCGAGATGGTAACAACGACAACATGCGGGGCATAAACAATAATCGAACTTCAAGAATATGACAATAGAAAAACGAAAACGAGGGAATGCGAAACTCACAATCTACAGACGAGCTAACAAAAGATAGTCGAGCCCGCTCAACAATAAGAGATGATTGTAGTCGACAGGATCGCAGCGTAGATCAACTACTTGAAAAGAAAACGACGACGGACGGGCTTGTGAACCATCCGTTTGCGGCAAGTCTTGTGGCCTGTCGGGGTGGCACTCAATGAGCTCGATACAGCAGTGGCTACGAGATTGTTGGCCGATTGTGAGGTTGCAAGATAACTCGGTGTAGAGGTGGTTGCCACCGCAGGTGGCTGAACCGTAGATGTAATGAACATTGTACTAGTAGAAGTCTCGCACGATGGAGGTGAGGCCGCTGAGGCTGCGGCACTGGAAGAGATCGTGGATGATGAAGCGGGTGACGAAGGTGATGGGTATGATGAAACAGCTGACGAGGCTGCAGCACTAGAAGATATCTTGGATGATGAAGCGGGTGATGAAGAAGGTGATGGGTATGATGAAACAGCTGACGAGGCTACAGCACTAGAAGATATCTTAGATGATAAAGCGGGTGACGAAGCAGGTGACGAAGAAGGTGATGGGTAAGATGAGACGGCTGGCGAGGATGATGCAACAGCTGAAGAGGATGATGCTGAAGCTGAAGAGGATACTGAAGTAGCCGATAAGGGTGATGAAGCAATTGCTACAGGCGGGGCGGCGGCAGAGGACGATGTACCAAAGATGTCATTCTGTGCTCCTGTGGCGATATATCAGACAAAACGTTTCCAATGACAACCAAAGCATGAAAACCCTCACCGTCCTGGAACCCACACTTGCTATTGTACGCCGGACTCTTAGCATTGCCGCTCAGGTCATTACCAGTAACTGCGATATTGTTGCCCTCAGCCTGATTCCAGATCAGGATTTGCTTTGCGCCCTGAGTACATGTACTCTGGTCCCCCTCGCACCAGACGGGAGGTTTAGGGGTGGCAAGAGGAGTAGTGGAGGTAGCGCCGGTAACCATGCACTTGAATCCCTGCATGTAAATGTTAGGCTCGCCGCACCCATCCGGAATCTAGAAGATGTTGTCAATTAACGGTAATGAAACGCAACCGAGAGGCAACGAACCCAAACCCACTGTTGAAGATGAATGAAAGTTAGCCTTGTCGAGAGAAACCATTAATAACTCACAGCACAAGTGCAACCATCTGCGGGACAAGCAGGCATGTCCTTGGGAACATCGTAGCTTGTGATACGTTTCCAGGGGGTGCTATAATGAGGGTCAGGGGTATTCACAGGGTCATCGGATATGAACGCACTTATAGCGGACGGTAAACACGACGAGGTTGTCAATCGTAACCTCGCTGAGTTCCGACTGTTCGATTGGTAAGCTTTGCGTTCAATCAGACAGCAAACAGTAGCAGACCTGGTAAGAGATTGCGAATGCAGTCCCAGCAGCCATGGACTGGTTTTGTGTATGCACTACCCATCGTTAGTGCGACTGTTCGACCAGGTCTAATCTGTACTCACTATTGGGACTACCTATGCAATCACTTTCAGAAAGAGGAGAGCCTGCCAAGTTTGCGATGGAGTAGTCGTCGGGGTGATTTTTACCATCACCCCACTCAGTCGCAAATTGTCCATTAAATGACAGGGACGTCACACCACGGTTGGCGGCTACTTCAACAGTAAAGGAACTTCCGGCAGGTCTGAGACATACAATGAGATTTACACAATCAGAACAAAACACAAAACACACAGTTCAAGGAAGTCTCCTGGCGCAGGGGGAAACTCATCACACTAGACAATATAAGCATAAACTCATGACTCCAAAAAATGTAAACTCACCCCGTTGAAATGATGAAACCAGTAATCGTTCTTCTGTAACATCCACAAGGGGCTGACAGGGTCGTCATTGTTATAATTGACCTGTCCCGCCACAGTTCCCTACAGACACAATGCTACTATCAGCGTTGAATCATGCGACATGGAACATTAGACTGACATTAAAGCAATACATTGCCTTGTGATACGCGGCCATATGCGCGTTAGTTAGCAAAGCGAGAGACGATAGCGCAAGCAATTTTAGAGTCATTGTGTTGTACCGAAAAGGATCGACAGGAAAAGAGTGGTGTATGTGGACTCTTGGAGGCCAAATTCGCGTGCAACGCGTATGATGCTTTGAGAGAAAGGAAAGACCACAAGGTTATGAGAGAAAGAAAGATGAAAAACAGTGAGCGTCTGGAATCTTGAAATATGCAGGGACGGTTGGACCGTCTATCCACTAAACTTCTTTTGTTCTTATACAAACCGTAATACAAATGGGGCTAAGGCGGGATCACTGTCCGCTTTTGGTTATCTACAAAAGGTCAAGGTAAGAAGAATCATGGTTCATTCCCTTGGAGACCCTCGGCCAAATCTTCAACGTTCTGCTAGGACCATATGCTACCTATCCTCATCTCCGTCTGTGGCATGAAAGGACCATGCGCCGTCAGCATTCAAGACAACCATGAATCATCGCAGTTTGGAAGCTCAGAGTTCTCGATCGAAATCAAAACATTCAACATTCAACACTCGAAACATAGGATCAACGACCGTTCTAGGGCCACGTCGGGCCTGTCGCGCACTTATTACGCACAAGGAGTAAATAATTTGTCTGTGCATACTGAAATCTAGGCACGCGTTGCCTGCTGCGAAGTCTAGACGACGGGCCTACAGTGGTTCGCTGAGGTGAGACCCGCTTCTGTCATTCGCTGAGTACGGTCCTGGCCCTACGAACTTAAGCTGATCGACAAGAGGGCGGAAAACGGCACCCCGGGTTTGGATTGATATTGCCGCGGTGAGTCGCCCTGCAAGTGTCATTCACTTATCTCAGCTGATCCTTGTTTCCTTGTCTACGTAGAGAAACCACGAGAAGATGAGGCCTATTCTATTTCCAATAACTCAAACACGTTGATCGATTGGCCAGAGTACTTGCCAGATCTTGCGCCACTCGGGTATCATTACTGCATAAAGTTTAAAATTTTGACATGTTGCATTGGTTTCAACCCTCAGTTTCCCCTTTCTGGTTCTCCAACGTAAGTTATGTACGACAAGGGCACGCCATTTTCTATGGACCCGTGTTGTACGCCTTGCAGACGGCATCACTTTTGATCTTGAAGTGAAAAGGCACCGTAAAAAAATTGGGGGTATTGACGGAGATCATTTTGTGCCTCGCGCAATCCTATTACTTCTGCATCCAGCATCGCAACACGATGTCCAAGAGCGCCCACTGAACGGAACTCATAGCGTATCAAGTCTATAGAAACGGTCAGAGTTTAAATGGGAGTGCGGTAGCCTCAGGGTAAGCCCTCGTTACGGATTTGCTTCGGTACTCAAGTTCACATGCTAGAAACATGCGCACGGTGCATTTTCATATGTAACATCATCCGTTCATATTGGTTTGGAACAGACACAAGTTGCTTATGTCATTGGAGATAGCCATATTTGGTACTTGGATGTCAGAATGACATCATTGCATGGCGATCATGCGCCCCTCGTCAGTACTTTATGTAACCCACGAAGCTTCTTGTCCACGAATTCCTTGCACCTATTCGAAACATGGCAGCCACTAAACAACACTTCGTCGGAGACACGCCGGTCGACTCTTTCCCATCTGAAGCCACACAACAAATTCCGGACGATGGACTCACAAAGAAAGAAGTGAAAAGACTGTCCAAGGGTGAGCAGAAGGAGCCTGGGGCTGGCAAGCGAGCCGGAGCTGCTTCGCGAAACCCAGATGGTAAGAGGAAATTTCCGCTGTGCGGAGCGCTAAATGCAAGCGACATGCAGACTATGATACACGTGGTCGAGGAGGACAAGGCAATACACAACCAATGGCAGGTGCGGCATATTTTTCACAAATCTCAAGTCAATTATCGACTGAGTTTTCCAGACCCTATTGTCTGAACTTTGTGCATGCCAGGAGACCATTTTGTTTGTATTTTTAGGCAATGGATACTGGGCTGTTGAATCCGCAGGTTGTGAGAGCGTTGTAACGACTATTGTATAATTGCGGCTCTCATGTAGTACAACACATGCGAACCCTTTACGTGTAAGCAGTACATGATCATCGTCGCCCCTGACTCATACTGCAACAGCGATCACATGAGGAAACACGCAGAGAACAACATGTAGGTTTGAGTCATTTCTAACGATTCATGACTTATGTAATTCGGTCCCCTATTCTTCTCAAGAGTCGTAGAGTTGGAGACCTGGAGCGTATCGCATCCTGCAGCTCTCGCCAACCCATCTTCAAGCAAGATTTCAAGCAAGATTTCAGCTAGGACCGAATATCGAGGACCTTCAACGATCAACTGCCAGATCCCTATGCCCCTGTAAACATAGAAAGACTTCAGGTCGCTGCTAAAGACATTAAAAAGCAACCAAGACATCGCCACTACCACACGACTTCAACCTTTTCGTACTCAGGAGCCCTTTCCCATTCAAAAATCTCATCGATCGTCCATGTCCGCCTCGCAGACGCGTGCCGTTCTCGACGACAATGTCATGTCTGGCTTCTTTTCATCATCGCATAAGATGCTGAAAATGGTATTGGAAGCACGCAGAACGCCGACGCCGTAACTGTAAGTTCGAATACGCGCTCAAGGGCTGAACTCGTGTTTGACTGCAGAAAGTTTTGTGCTTGTTGTATCATCCGACTTTGTTTCGGGCTAGCAGGCCCTTTAGATAAACAAAAACGTGGCAGAATTCAGTCTAGGCGGATCTATTATCAGTGACGCCGTAGTCGTACTTGTTTCCATTTCGTCCCTTATGCCGAAATTGCAGACACTTCAGTAGCTCAGTGTCACAAGCGGGAGGTCCTGCAACATGTCTCTAATCGCGGCCTCAGCTGTGGACCTGGTGTTAAATCGCTCGTGGCTGTTCGCCAGCAGGGAAGGGATGTGTCAGTGCGCAGTCAACATATGATGAGAAGCGCGTTTACCTTCATGAGCTCTTTCTTGAGCATACCATCAGGGGGCAATCGGCAATCGGCAATTAGCCTCGCTGAGGGTACGTGTGACAAGGGAATGTAGTACATTCCGCGGGAGGTAGCAGCCCTGTATCCAGACATATTCGTGTCATGTCATTAACAGTGCGTTTCGCGCCGCCATCTGAAGGCTTTCTTTTAAAGGGCTGCCCTAGGTGCCGTGTTCAGGGCCTGCTATATAAATCCCAGCCTAGAATTGCCCTCCTTGCAATTAGTAGAGGAGCACAGGAATGCACCTCTGCGAATATTTGCAACGAGGCCCTGAGTTTACATGTGCATAGTAGGAGCAGTACTCTTCAAGTTGCGCCCGTGACAGCATGGATGCCGAGTCGGAGAACAAGTCCCAAATCAATCGTATATACAGCATATGGTGGATCCGGTCCGACATACATATGATATATGATAGCTTGCAGGGACATGCTGCAGTGGGTTAAGATTGAGATTATAGTACCAGTGAGATGATCGATAATCAAAAACCTTGTTTGAAACTCGAAACTGTAACGGTATAACGGTGTTGACACACCCGCATCAATAAACCGTGATATCCCCAGCCGCGAGGCGCTCCTTTCCTTGATATGTAATGTACCGGAAAGAAGCATTGGGCTTACAATATCGACTAATATCTGTGTCTCACCGTACTGATGCGGTGATCTGAGTGACCTGTTATCACTCGGAAATTGTTCGGCTCCCACAGCAAGGTCAAAACTCAGTGAAGACCTCGCTCACCGCATGGACCTTACATAATAAGTCTATTGATATTTTCGCTCTTTTTCTTGTAAATGAGGTACAGAGCATTGTAGCTTCACTCCCTCTGATATTGGTAGTATATATATTAGCTCAGTATGTCCTGTTGAGTTTATCCTAGCGTGCAAGCCTACTGTACGCAGAGTGAGGCTTGTGCTGGGCCAGAATATGTTAATATTTGAAAACTACCAAATGAGGAAATAATCAATATGTATATAGTTTTATGCTCATTTTTTCCCGCGAGGGAGCTCACTCAATTAAATTCATTTGTCGTTTATTCGAAGAACGCAGAGCTACTTGGAAGATATCTGAGTTGAGTATTTTACAGAGGTACTACTTACTAATTATCAGAGCCGACAGGGTTTCTGAGGTCTTTCTGCTGTACCTTGTTTTCGCCACGGCTTGGCAGCCGAACGGTGGCTCCGGGAGTGGTAACAGGTCACTACACACTCCTATTGATGCGGTGGTTACTAGTAGGGTTACCGACACCACCTTTAAGAAGTAAAACTCTCCGAGATTACGTACACGCACATGTTTTCCTTCACACAGTTGCCAGTACTATCTAAGGAACTGCTCGCTTCAAGTAGCAGACACGATATGATATTCCAATAGCTGCAACACTTATGCTGTTCATGCAAGCGTAACTACATCTTCAAATGACTTCCGTCATTCGGCTCAAACGGAACTCGTTGCCTCATGTTGTCGCTGTGCACGGATTGCCAGCAACGCAGCTGATGCTCTAAGATGCGGCGTTATGATTGGTCACAAAGAAGAAGTGTCCGATGATTCGATAACGTGGGTCTGAAATCTTTTCCCGTATCACGCTCGCTTCTTAATTGCAGCCGGGTCATAAGATTCCCTCCAACTTATCATCTCTCTTCATTGTTCACCCAACTTGCGATCATATCGCCCACCAAATGCTGAAGGACCTGGCGAATTGAAAAAGACACGCCCACTCAGTGGCCCAAGCTAATCCACGCAACATTGAACATACATCATCTACTATGGTTTTACTTCACACACAGCAGACGATCAAGGTATGAATGAGCGACGCTTCACCATCCACCTTTTTGATCTGACTCTCGTGCTTTGTTTACAGTACTTTCGAGGTTCGTTATTGGATTTTCTCGTCCGTTACAGCCTGTGTTGAAGTACTGGCAAAGTTGCACCGGCTGCTGTTTGGGTGAGTTAGGCGTGCACTATTCTCCAAAGTCTGTCCAAGACCTTATCTCCTTCGTTAGGCATTCGATTACTGTTTGACATTCGAACATGAAGTTCGTCTGTTTAGCACCATGGGCCGTTTGAACATCGCGTCTGTCATGTTTGTCATAACAAGATATGTTCCCATAGTATGGATTATCAGTGAAATATACGGTGAGCAACACTTCATTTTTGAGAGAAACATTCTTATTGGTTTGCAGTCACTGTAGGGCCACAATCAGTGGAAGCGGTAAATAAAATTGTCTCTGAACCATACCTAAATCATGTTAATGCTAACATAGTGCATGACAACATATCGGACGGCTGGCGGTAGGTCACCTCACGATCACTAATTACATGTTCCCTAACGTATCCCAGGTTCCCTGGTTCTTATCATGTTATCTACCGAAGGTATGTGCGCTCGTGTTAATTAAGTAATTTTCCCCTTCATATGTTTCAGGTCTGCTTCTCATGCGTACACTTGCCTTGTGGCATAATAACGAGAAAATCAAACGATTTCTGTTGGCAAGCTACTTGGTAAGTGATTCGGCAATTCTGTTACTCGGGTGATAATATCAGGGTTTGAAGGTTGTTGCTACCTCAATGCTCACTTGTGACATCCTGGCGGTGTCTCCGAAACTCGAAAGTGTATGTGCACCCACAGCAAGTAAGAGCTCCGTAGAGGAGGCTACGAGAGTGGAACACCTGATTATGGGCATGTTCGTTAGCGCGGCGTTGTTTGAACTCAGTGAGCGACTGGCGATGCTGCCTTCCTTTGAATCTACTGACGAAATTCGTGCAGCGGTAGTTTTTGCCACAATGTATCACTCTTTAACATCTCGCTCTGTTGGCATACGTACCGTCAATGGATTGGTGTCCAACTTGTGGAAGGGAAGTTTGCTATATGCATTATCGCTTCTTAGTATGTTATTCTGAAATCTATTTCTTCTTCGTCTCTCCTAACTGTGCTCTAAGCGATCTCTATTGCGAACGCTGTTTCTTTTTCTTTACCGGTGCGTGCTTTTCGTGTACTCCACCATGATTAGGTATAACTATTGGTGCAGGTCTCAAGCGGGCAGAACGGTATCATTGATGTGTAAGTGACTGCCCTTCGTGTTGAGTGCCAACCGCTGAACTATCATAACCAGGTTTCAAGGTGTCCTGCATGGCGTTATGGCTTCACGTATTCTTTTTGATTTGCGCAATGCAGACCGGCGTGAAGAAGATAGTTATCGACTCGCCTCATATGTGCCCCCTTCTAATTTACAGTTTGCATCGTACAACATACCCATGACTCCCTTACTATGACGAAAACAATATATGAATTACATGTCCCCATGATTCACGTCCGGAACTCGAATTCGAATGGCTGACGGACTTCGGGAGGGTTTGTAGAACAAATCTTTTGGGCGTCAAGATTAGATCATGCGTATACACGGACTGACGGGATCCGTCTGCCGGATCCCAGATTGATCCGCAAAGTTTTTTTTTGCATCTGTAATGGAACCTAATGGGACTGTGGCTGAGTAAGCAACCGACCCAGCGGGTCACCCAGGCTACTACCTGGCCACCACAACAGCTATGGTTTCGGGCAACTCAGGTATACAGACGCTGCCACAAGTGACAGCGACCCAGATTCAAGAAAACTTCCAGAAGACAGCAATGAGGGAAATCGACCGGCCTAATACCTAGACAACACCACGGCAACCTTGTTTGAAGATGAGGTCCGTATCTAGTAGGATATTTTGAACTTCGCTGCATTGGATAACGCAGACACATTCTTCTAGTAATCTGAAATAGATTGCGAGTTAGACGATATACGTACAAGACCAAAATAACAATAACCGAGTCGAAACTTCTACCACTAAACGTTGTCATGCAGGCTGTTGTCCCCATTGGTTCGAGTAGATTAACGCCAGGGTTTGAGAATTCGTTTCAATGTGAGTGCATTCTCTGCTAGGCAGCCAAGCACAGACCATCAAAGAGAAGAGTTGGTTGTCTGCAGTAACTCAGGGACACAACCGAATGTGAGTGTGATCATATTATCTTCTCCGAGTCCGACGGATGCCGTTTGTGCGTGTATTGAAACACATCATTTAACTGAGGAAGTAATTGAGTCCATCACGCGCATGTTATCTTTCGCAGAGGGAAGCCGTCGTGGAGGTTTTCTCTTCATCACCATGTTTCTTAAAGGTGGGGATAAATATTTGTGTACTTGTTTATAGTACAACTCGTCAGCTCGTCCGCTCACTTGTTCATAAATCCTCTTCACAAGAAGCATAACCAAGCCATGCCATCATCTAAACGCAATCAGCTTCCCAACACACGTACTCCAGTATACATCGACATTTGGCCAGAGTCTAGCTCATGGTCGAGCAGCTCGAGCTCATCCTCATGTTCACATACACCGCCATCTTCTCTATCAAAGTCGCCTCAAGTTGTCACCACGCCTCACCCTTCCTTGAACATACCGCGTTGCATAAGGGATATTGATCCCAGCGTAACCTTCGTCTCGCCCTCTGTCGTCATTGCCAAGTCATCCTATATAATTGTATTGGATGGTGCGCCTATACACAGCGAGGACACGAAGCTCGAATGCATTGGACCATATTTCACCGATTCTATAATCCCGTCTGGTGACGGTCCGTTGCTCTACAGCACAACCCTAGTTCCCAAGTTCTGGGAAATCTTGTGCAGATCTCCAGGTCCGTACTTTCCGGCCTTGACGTGCTACGGATATATGATTAGTCCCCCAAGATCCCACTATGTACACCATCATTCAGGATGTGTACCGTCGAGATCTAGCACCCCTTGGAAGGTCCTCGTGTCGTCCTCGCCCTGTTCTTATCTTCTCTGCTGAATACCACTTCCGGTACTCAGTCCATGCATGCACGCCTCCACCTTCCATGACACCATACACCGCATATCATGCCAATTCGCCTTTCATCGCGAACGTTAATTGTGCTCATCTCGATTCACCCGAGCCCAACTGTCCGTGCAATCGTCATCGGATGCCCCTGAGTCAAGACAGCCCCCAGTTGCATGAAGACAACATGCAAAGCCAACTGTATAAACAATGCATACCGGACGTCAGCCTAGAGGACTTATCCCTCATTAACTCCATGATCGATAACCATGACTCGTCTGCTGCCAAATCGGAAGAGATGATGACACAGTCGTCATTCTCAAGCTTCCCAAATGACATCCGTAATTATGTGAGTAAGCTATAGTTCAATGAGAAGGTCTGCTGCTCACATGTCCATCAGATATAGGAAAGTAGCACGCATATAACAGTGATATTACTTGCTGGATGTATGCTGACATTCTATATATAGAGAGTCCTCCGGCATTGTTGCAGTCAAACTGAGTTTCTGCCCTGTAGGTCCCACCAATGACATTTACCCGTCTGAAAGCGCTGAGAACTTAGAAAAACGTGTTGGGACGTAATGTTATTTTGTATACTGTGTGTGCTTGTTATTCCAGACATTTGGAGTCTCCCGGTACGGCTAGATAGTGACTGGGTGCTGTGGTCCCAAGGAAGTCCTTCACTCACGTAACTCTACAGGAGTAAGATTGATCCTAGAGCTTCGAGCCTCCAGCCTTGAAGCCCTGCCATCGGCGAAGATTATAGTCCTAGAGCTTCGAACTTCGAGCCTTGAAGTCCTGCCGCATCGGCGAGGTTGTAAGTATCTGTCTCCAGTGCGGAGAGATAAACCACCGTAATGATATCGGTGAAATGACTTTCAAACGACTACGTACTAATGCATTCTTATCGCTGTTAGAAGCCCATGTCGACTATGGATGAGCGCCCACTGGCAGCTTCTACCATTTATCTGAACAACTTCGTTATCCATATTAAGTAGACAGGTGAGTGCTAAAAATAATGTGGACTATCATATACCGGAATTTGAAAAACAATTGTCGAATTACGAAAACCGGACCGTAGATCAACGGGAGGATATCATGATTATTAGTATCAAGCACTGCACAATGAGACAGAGATGGAAGTAATCGACAAAGAAAAACCTGCACTCATTGTTGCAGTTGCTGTACTGATGGGAACCGAGCTAACTCGACCGACGGACGAGTCAACCACGGTGGCTATTCCTTTGCCATGCGCAGCTCCTGCTAAATTCACAGATGAGTACCTCATGCAGTACAAACACGAAAGGTAGTGTTGGGGAATGAAAATTTCTTGAGGGGACTTTCGCATTGGACGCCAGTTGTCCGTCGTACATTGATATTGAAACACAAGGCCCGGTTCCTAAAGCGTGAAATGATATTATATCCTACATTATTTTTGCCTATGGGAAGTCATCCACTGTGGGACAGGAAGAGAAGCGGTGAATGTGTCCTAAATTATAACCAATAGAGTTTGAATCTGACCTCGTATGCGCTTGCCTTATAGTACGGGACGAGTCACCCGTCTAATTTCTCCGGACGACAAGCGGAAAAGAACCCCAACTAGGTACTATCGCATGGCCTCGAACGCTGCATTCGTTCGTCCTTTATCGCGGTCTACACCTGAAACTGAGAACGCATTGCGACCTGTTCGATCTCTGACTGATACATGTGCATGGACAGGTTAGAGTCGGAAGAGATGCATACTTGGTATCTGACGCAAAATAGTCATGAAATTCTAATGGGTATCAGTGAAATTCGACTCACATTCCCCCACAAATGTAGTATGCCTCAATCCTGCGGTTCCAAGAAAAAAGCGTTGTCCACCATCCTCACAGTCGACATATAAACGTGCGCAGGATACTTAAACCCGTTCCAGTATCTGCACCGGGGTCAGCTTCCATTGCTGTTACAGTGAATCACTTGTTGTATGGTTCCCTTCGACACCTATGTCAAACTTCAAACTCCCGTTCAACGGCTTCCTGGTGTTACACCCGAGTAAACTTTTTTTCAGCCGCGGACTCAGGGTTTCTGGATAAATTATTTTTAATAACATCTTGAAGACGCGAACTTTCACGAACACACCTTCGAAGTTGAGTTGAATGTGGGTGACTGATTTGTTCATTTTGGGCAAGTACAGAACGTAAGCCTGCTGCATCGTGCCGACTGTAACGTAACATGTATCGTGAAAGCGATTTAGGGCGCGAAAAAACGTATATGAATGAAAGTTAAACATACCCTGGGCCCGCGCTCAGGCTGTAATCATGGGACTACATCAAACCCGGTGAGCAGAGAGTGTCTGCACACCATTTCTCCAGCTTACTTATCCTTGCAATCAGGGTGGCGAAAAGCCTTGCACGAATCTGCCAGTCAACATTTGACTTACACCGCAGTCAGAACCATCGACACCACCGCCCGTGACCCTGGTTTCACGGACGTCGAGAAAACTGTGTGGTACTACGCCAATGGTGGGACGTGGTCTAACAGACTCTACTAACGAGACGCTCGTCATGGGCGGCAGCGGCACATCTAGTACGTTCCGCTTCAGCGACAGTGCCGCGGAGGAGTTCCTTGTGATGATAGGACTGAAGACACGGGCATGAAGATCCACACTGAGTACTGCATGGCTGGCCTAGGAAGTTGAATTGGACTCAACTAGTTGACTCGGAGGACGAGTACAAAGAGAACTACCGTGGAATCTGGATGTTATGGAAAACAACTTCAAGGGCGTCCACATTACTATCATATTTCTTGAGTTATCGTACCAAAAGAATTAGAGCTATGTCAAGACAAAATCGATATGAGTGATGTGATGGCAAAACAAGGACTCTGCAATTGAGAAATACATATTGTCAATAGAGAGAAGGCAAGGAACAATATTAGCTCTGTCGAATTCGGAAACCGGATTCAGCTGCAGTCTCGGGTACTGAAATGAACAATATCCTCGGAGTACGTATTCCTACTATAAGACAAGACATGACAAAGATACAAAACACAACAATATTTAATATCAACGAGACATATAATTGTCTCCATGCAAGTCCATATCGTACCGTGTCATACTCGGCATCAAGAAATGATCACTCTCCTGCAAACAAGCGCACGAGCATGTACGTCGTCGAGCCGATGAAACGAACGACTAAAGAACAGAAGTTATCAGCACTAGTGATGGTGTGGCGTCAGAAGCTTCCCCTTACATGCAAGTCCAGCAACTGAGAAGAGGATGAACGTCATATATCCGGTCACACCTGCACTTCCACTGCCACTCGTAGTGCTGCCATTTAAAGTGTTAGCGATCAGTAACACCTGCAACCTTTCAAATTGCTTACATTATAGCAGCAGCCAGAAGAGCCTGTAAACCCACGACGTCAATAAAAGTGTCTCTAATACGAACCTATTTAGTTACTCACATTGCTCAAAGTCCAAACCAGCAATACGTTCGTCCGGAACGTCTTATAATAATCTTCTTGCTGGGTTGCCGGATCAGGCTTGGAATCCTCCTTGGGTGGTTTCGAGGACAGAACATGGATAGCATCTTCATATGCTGCATTGATGTCAGTCTCAGCCGTGGGCACCGCTACCTCGACTTCATTCTTGTTGTCCCCCGTGCCCGCGCTGACGACACCGAGATCAGTGGAAACCTTGTTGTCACCCTTCGTTCCCCATGAGACATCATGGACGTTGGCAAACTGAGACTTTGTGAACGACTGGGAGCTGTGCTGAAGAAGAGGGACGTACTGCGTAGACGTTCAAGACCGCAATATACGACGGCGCCATGAGGAGATACTGGATGAAGGACGTAATCATATGCCATGGCTCAAACTTTGACCATCATCAATAAATAACAAGCAAGATACAGAGCAAATAATGACTCACGAAGATCAACGAGGCCATGAAATACAGCCCCAGCGTTGCCGCCAATGAGACCACGACATCTCTAAAGATCGAATTCGACAATAGATCGCTAGCCTGTATCGCCCGTCCTTCACTTTGCGCGACGCCTTCAATGGCCTTGTAAGCGAGCAATAACGCCGAGACAGTCATATCAATCGTGATTATGGCAAACCCGATGAAAGCGAGGGTGTAGCCCCATTTTGAACCTTGCGGCCGATTACCGAGCGAGAGGAGGAAGCACATGATGAGCAACCCGAGATAGAAGTAGTTGAGAATGATGTTAAGGATGCGGATTTGAGGAACGTAGGACTCGAGCGCTTGGGTGAGAATGATGAAAGCAATATAGTAGTTACCCTAATGCGCATGAAGGTCATGACGGTGGCGCAGAGAATGGTACAGAACGAAGCTTACAAGGGAAAACCAGGCAAATATGAGGTTGTACAGTTGATAAAACATCTCGATGTGAATCCAGAACTTGCGCATGAATGAATGCGAGGAGCGATACAGGTAGTGGAAATGAACGGTAGAGTGTATGGCGGCAAAGAAAGAGCCATTAAGCCAGCGACGTCTTTGGGAAATTAACTCGGGGACCTGTTGGAAAGGGTCAGCGTGCTTTACACTAGGACTTGAACGTTTGGATTGACCTGGTCGGGAACATCAGTCACGGCGTATGCAGACTTGACATAGTGCAGAATCCACGATCCCCCGCGCTTTGAGACAAGCTCCCAGCATAATATCTGAACAAGTGTCAGTCGAGACATCATCTTATTCCACTCAGCACCCACCCGATCCTCGGCAAGATACATGTTCGCTGTGAAGATATCGGCACCTGCACCATGCATCTTCTCACCTAAAAAGTACTTCTGCAGCGGGCCCTCCCCCATCTGGTCATTCTGCAGGGCAATATACCTATATGCACTAAACGCGCCAGGCAGCACGGTGATATACCCGAACACACTCTCTAACGGCTTATCCAAAATATTCGACATTTTATATTCGAAATTCTGCGCTGCGACGAGTGGGTTGAGAAGATATTGTCCGTACTTGCCCTTCAGAGCGACGATTTCACCGCATGCACCGCCAACATTCGAATTAATATCGAAGGCTTTCCACAGGTGGTAGATTGAAGTGGGGCCGGGCATGGTACCAACGTCAAGGAGAACGCACACATTGGGCTCCAATATTGGACCAAAGGCGTTGAAGAACCAGCGATGGGAGTTGATCTTCTTTTGGTTCTTCTCTTTAAGGCAGAAGATGATCTGTACGGGGACAACACCTTTTTCGGCGCCTTCGATTTTCATTGAAGGAGAGACCGATACTGTAATCACGTTAAGATTAGATACAGACAAATGACGGTGAGACAAACTTTGCGTGGTATACTCGTATATGTGTGCTGCGACAGGTTTTCCATTGACGATATTCTTTTCTATCATCAATTTGATGACCATTTGCTAAAAATGGAACTTACCTTTGCAATGCCGTCTTGATATGCACCCATGGCAGCAATGACACTCAGCGTCCGGGAATTGATCTTCGACCGCCCATCACTAACAATACAGACCACAACCTTTTTCCAACCCTCTTTCCCCCACGTTTTGCTCCGATCTCGTTTGCACAAATGAGCGATATTCTTAATGACACCATGCATTGAACGACAGAATAGCTCCTCATCTTCATTGTACATTGTCATGACGATGAAAAGCTCCGTCCTCCGTGGAGGATCGTAGTGCACTTGGCGGAGGGTGAACCCAGAGTTCTTAAAGTCGTTGGGGTCGCATGTGGCTGCAGAGTACCGCATGTGGGTGAACTCGCGTTCATTGCGAATCGCGCACATATCCAGCAGTTTTGTTGGCACTGCGGAGTCGAGCACGAAGTTACCGTGGAAGAGTCTGTGCACTATGAGGGAGAGAAAATAAGATTCAACAAGGAACACTCACTCTACCTTCTTGATAGTCTTGTACCGTCGGGGCACGCGCTGCGGTATGTGTCCGTAGCGAATGTTAGTTTCTGAGCGGTCATCAGAAATGGCCTCCTGGTAGCCTCCAGGCATTTGTGCTGCTGTGTAAGGACCATTGTGTTGCAGCAGTGGCATGTCGCCCAGATCATTGTCCTCACGCTCTACCATCTCATAATCCATACCAAACTGTGACTGCGGGCGTGGAGCGGGCGGTGCATTGTCGAATGGGCTATAGTGGGCATGTGGTGTAAGGTAGTCTGTTGGTGGCTGCGGCGGATGTTGTTGTTGTTGTTGATACAAATCTTGTGATTGAGAAGGAGGAAATGGGGTCGATTGAACTTGCGGGGTAAGAAATGGGTCCGGGAGGTGATATTGCTGGTTCGGATCGTAGGGTCGGTGTTCAAATTGGGGATTGTAGCGATTTGGGTCATACGGGTCATGTAGTTGTTCTTCATAAGGATTAGGTGTCTGAGACGGGTGAGCGCTGTACCCGTCATTGTAGTGTCCTCGCTGTGCCTCGTCAGCCTGTTTATCATCGTGACAGAATTTTGTTAGACGCCTTGAACGACGACAATGGCAATAAACAAACCCACCTCGTTGTACCGTGACATCGCGTGTGGGCAAATTGTCTCCTATATGAGCAAGCAAATGAAAGAACGTGAAGAAGGTCAGTAAGTAGTCTAGACTATAAGCGCTAGCTCTAAGTACTGTGCAAAGCTGTCAGAAGTTGTGGCAGTGCTTGGGCAGTGCTTTCAATTCACAGGCCCAGCCAAGCGCAGTGACTGGGGCAATGCGCAGCTTTCCAAGTCAGCTTTCGGGCTCCTAACTATTCTCTAGCAAGAGAACTCTTATCCGAAGTTCTTTCAAAGAAAAACTAGTACAAAGGGAGAGAGCCCTAAAAATAACTTACTATTAGCTCATGTCGATGTACCGTCAGTGTCTTTTCTATGTAAAATTCACTCTCAAAGTCACGGAGAGATCGTCTGTGCTAGAGACAAGGTGATGTATATATTGCAGGGACGAATCACAAGTGTGGCACTCCTCGATCGACAAGTTGTGACTTCTAGGTTCAAGATTTCATTGCTTCTCGATATCTGCATTTAAGAATCCCGTACGACATCGTTAAATTACAATTCGGTTTACTTACTTCCATCACAGCGGAAACTCGTTGCTTGAACAAAGCTCTTTCAAGCCCACTCTCACATTTACGAACAAATAGCTGGATTAGTCGCCCGTCGCTGTTACAGACGATTTCACTTCTTAGGGATTGGCACCCTTGTATATCCTTAAACGTTCAAGGTTTCTCTAGATGAAACGGTACCGTTCTCAGCGTGCAGGATTGCAGGGATAACTTAGATGCATGAAGCTCGTAGAGATGAGCTTTCTCTAGAGATGGAAAACCACAGGAGATTTCTTGGCTCCAACTTCCGAAATGCGAAGGATCAAGGAGATAGTCATAAACGACAAATTCACGACGTTCCTCCCTCCCTTGGCAAGTGCTTTTCTGTCGTGCTGATCGTGAGGTGGTGGATCCTTGTTGTTTGTCTTCCAGATTGACTTGATACATTAAAAAGGTTAAAGCAGGTTGACAGCACGAGACAATCGGGCATGCTCGGTTGGGGACCCATTAGTCGAATGATTCTTCGTCATCATGTCTTGTGATGGTTCAGTAGACTAGTAAGCGTCGCAGCCGCATGCGGGAATCAGGTGCGGGAAGTGCCCGTTAGTTCCTGGTGCTAGCACTGGACAGTGGAGTCTGACAGCGCTACAGTGGTACCTGCATAGTAACACAGATGATAGTAAGTTGCCAGTGAGTCCACAATAACTTAGTAAAACATTCATACATCACCCGACTTCTCCCAAACCTCTGTTATGCCTCCTCCCGTCTCACTCAATCCCCCGATGATGATCAAGTCCTTCGTAGCAATGATCGCATTAACCTTGTTCACATCGGTCGTTGCCTTCGTCCACTTTGGAGATATGTCCAACTTTCCATCTGCAGTTGGGCCACCAATTTCTTGGAGGGTGACTTTTCCCATCAATGTGGATGTTAAAAGTGTGCGAGGCCCGAAAAATGTCCTGCTGGTGTCTCAGTTCGGATATCGCAGTATAGCAATAATAAATACATACAGAGCAGTGATAGGGCCATGCCCGACATCTGCCGTGAAGGCTCCATCTTGCTTCAATCCTTCCCACTTCCGCCGTTTCTTTTTGACAGATGCACCAGACGAGACTCCTGTCATTTTCTCTCCGCCGGTGCCAATCCATACCCGTCCGTCGGCGGTTCCCGCAGCCAAGATGCCAGATGGTGACATGGCAGACGACAATATGAACGGCGGGGACATTGAGACACCTGAAGACTCGGACAGAGGAGACGTCCCTGACATGCGAAATATTGAAAAATGAGTGACAGCCAAATTGACCAAAAAGTCAAACTACCTAAATCGAATCGCGACAATATGGTCTTTTGCTGAAAGTCGTGATGCAGCAGCCTAGAGTCGTATCCACCGCTGACAAGTTCACTCAGACGATCGGGAATGAACTTCACCGTCCCACAGATCTGTACTCCTGTGAGCGAGGCATGCACCTGAAACACGAAAGATACAAACATTGTCATGACTTGTTTTCATGCGTGTTACTTGTTTCGTAGAAAGATCAACGACACCGACTGCACCAGAGTCGAGACAAAATGCCAGTTGACTGTTTTTTTGGTTGAGCGAGAGCTGGCTGGTCATGATCAGTCGGAAATATAAAGAATGATGTTGTGCCCTCTACCTCGTTCAGCAGGTCGTCATTTTCGGCACCAAGTTCCAACGTCAAGGTTGCATCAGCCTTCGCAAGAATCATCTTTTCCGTGTCCATACTAAAACGTAGAGCCTGTATGAGTTAAAAACAGGTTTGTCAGACACATGCAAGATTTCGATCCTTGACTTGTCAGGACGTACATGACGATTGGATGCGACCCAGATATCCCCGAGGCCACCTGCACTGTGTGGCATGCAGACAACAGACGATACTTCTCCCAACCCTCTGATAGCCTTCACAACTTTCAAAGTCTCTTGATTATATACGCGAACAGATCCGTCATCTGTAATATGTACAGAATAAATCTACACGATCCATCAGCATGGGATTTGATGGAAGCCCGTACCTGAGCCTGCAAAGAAATGACCCGATGATCCTTCAGCCAGACATGAGATCGGTGCGGGTGTTTTCAGTGTTTGTCGGTAAGTGTATGGTGTCTCCTTCATGATGAGCGCGAGCTTCAACAAAGTTCAAGGTCAAGCCGTCCGCATTGGGTATAAAGTCTCGTCCACGCATGATGGCAACTTGCCGGCAACGGCGGCCCGCCCGCGCCTCACTTCGTCCAGCAACTTCAGAGCAATAGAATCTATAACAGCATGTATAGCAGATCACTTGACTAAATAATACGACAAAAACTTTGTATATCTCTTTGAAATCTACTTCGGAACACCATATAACTTCGATCAATACTTTCAAGAAAGTGGTAATAAATAAAAGCAAATTTCCCTGCTCTTTGGAGGGCCGCCCGAGGGCACCAGACAACTGTTAACCCCACCGAGTATCACACACCACTACCAGTCGATATTTCCACGCGCTCCTGGAAAGCGATTGAGGTCATACCAGTTGCTGCATCGGAATTAGCAACAAGCTTGGCGTGGTATTCTCGAATACCAAGGATCAGGCGTGGTCCCAACACAAATAGCTGCACGACGTCAAAAATCTGAACAACCCCGGAAATAATCTGACTGTCCAGGGGAATGCTCTATAGAAACGATAAATTGTGGTAGCGTGCATAGGCAAGTGTAAGATTGACATACCGCTGAGAATGAGAATGTTGGAGAGAACACAAGAATGAGATGAAAGCAAGAAACAGCAACGAAGCTAGCACGTCCGACCCATCAGTGGCAAAAAGGGACAATAATCATGATACGAGTGTACCTCGCAAAGTAAAGCGCGTGAGTTTTCATCAACACCGTGAAACAGTCCTCGATAATTCCTCCTGCCGAATGTTGTCGCAGTTCACGAATGTGTTTGGCCGCAATCCAGACTGCGAGACATAATGCGACGACCTCCCATGCGGTACCGAGTATCCAAGTAATGGAAGCCAGAAGTGCCATATTATCCGCCTCATCAAACTGACACTGATGAGTGCCGGAGAGAATGAGTTCCTCTGGTATTCATCGTTGAGCCCCATGCACATTTTTTTCTCATCCACAATTAAACGTACCCCCTGAAGTATGCATCGTTGTCATTATGGTGGACACTGCATTGAAAGTGTTGATGGCCAGGAAGGTGACAATGAGAAATATCAGGATCTTTCTGAATCCTTGATACATGGCATGCAACCGCGTGATGATGATAGCTTGTAGCATGTTTCAGTCAAATCAATATCGCTGAGGTTTCACAAGTGCAAAGCTCACCCCACAGCATCACAAATACCACAACACCAGTCCAATCCAATACGACGTAGATAATCCAGCCTAACGAATCCAGTCAGGGATCAGCCTCGGGTAGCACACACTCCAAACAGACTCACATCTGTTGCAGTATAGCGCGACAGTAATTAGTGAGCAAAGAAGTTAGTAAAGAACCACACCCACTGCTAAAAAGCACCAAGGTCAATTGTAGGGGGATAGTACCAGGCATATGTGCAGAAGACTCACTGTGTCTGTCAGCGAGGTGGTCGGAACACTGGCTGAATGCCGTTGGTCAGAAGAAGCGAAGACAGTGAATGTACTAAGGAGACATACTTAGCATGTTCAGCCTGATCATGAGAGATAGACGATTAGCTCAACACCGGTTGTGTAGCCTTCCGAACATACACAGCGTATAAGATTCCGAGGTAACGCGCCTAGGATACTTTCAAGTCAGCACAGCATGGCAACCGCGACAAACAAGCTACATACACCGAGATACAGAGCTGTCATTAGGGACCATCGTTGTCTCTGGAATCGAGTGTATTTTCATGTGTGTTCCTCTTACACCAGACACTACTCACCCAGACCAATTCCACCTATAAAGCCATTCTCAGCGAGATGGCTGCTCCGGTCATACCATCGACATACCTCTTGTCCAAATGTGAGTACTGAAGATAATCGTAAGACGTCAGCAGTCTTTTAATGTTATCATGCTCACACCAATCATGCATCGCTGCAACAAAGGCGGCGACTGTGAAGCCACAGCCAAGGTTAGATTGTGTCAACTTCAACATCCGACTGCTCTCCACGAACCTGCAAAATAGCTGTCCAAACGATTTGTATTGATGGCCAACCACCAAGCGGGATCATTGGAGACTACGGTCATATTGGTAGAGAATGGGTGTGGGTGAGAGGCGAACTTGGTGGACGTAAGACGATGGAATTCATGCTAGTTATACCACCATCCGGTACGTAGATCAGCGAAACGAGATCGAAAGATGATGATCGTTCCTGCTTTGATTGGTCGAAGTGGATATTTTTGCATAAGGGAAGATAAATCAATCCAGGGGATCATAGTAGATGTTAGTCGTAAAACATTTGCAGGAGCGAAACACTTGAACTCCGCAAAAGGTCAAACAACATCAAGAACTGTTCATGGTCTTGTCACCTTGTTTCCGATGCTATCCTCGGAATGATTTTGCTACACGTGCATCAATTCATTAATGCAACCAAGTATTACTTCATCTGTTTGATACATACTGATCACGGTGCGACCATCAGAAAGCCTGTCATCTCATCTTTCTTCGCCTCTCTAGCACAGGCCTGGGGAGCATAACAGCTCATCCAAGGTCACTCGACAAATGCACATTGCGTCTGCATGACACCAGACCAGAAAAGTCGGCCGTCAAAAATTAATACATTGCAAACTAATTCGCATCTTACCCTAGCTACCGATACCGCCCTGCAAACACATTTCACTATCTCATCTTGTCCTTAGGTCATCTGTTGCTTCATGCGCACCCCCTCGCTCTCTGCTTGGAAAATCGAGTTACTGCCATCATGAAATGGTGAGCCCAGAATGTTTGATTTGTATCGTGGAGTTGGTGCGGTGGTAAGAGGTTTCACCAGAGACGTGAGATTCCGTGATTGATATATGAAGATACAACAACACCCCTATATCAAGAGAGCATTGAGAGCGTTGAGAGGATATAAGAGAAATGATGCCCATATGCACAATGGCTGAAGGCGATAACATTCCGTTGGCACGCCATCAGAAAGTTGGAGATTTGAAGAAGTTGAGGGAATAACTCACCGGGTCATACAGCTTCCACTGCACACCATCAACGCTAATTCAAATGAAAACCGATCCAAACCGCACCACACTGAATCCATCATGCAGTTGATGCCCTTCTGTTGACTCACACATTCGTAGGGTAGCCTGAGTGGGAATGTGTATTAGAACGCCGTATATATTTCGCATGAACCAGCTACTATAACGACGCCCGAGACTGCACCGACACCTCAGAACTTCGACTGACGATCAAGATTCGAGATTCGAGGATTCATGTGGTTTTAGAGCCCTTGCATGCTAACCGATTATACAAAGCAGGCTCTATATGGGTTTGCTTGGCGAAAAATAATTGAAAAAAGAAGGGATACTCACTGTGGATGTAGACTTGCTGTGAACAAGCTGTATGATTTCATCAGGTGGCCTTTGTTAGACCTTAAAAAAGTGGGATGCCATGCATCCATGGCTGAGCCCCAGTGAAAATTGACAAGAATGAGGTAGATAAGGACTTGTAAGTAGTACGTACTTCAATTTGGAACACTGGGGATGCTGGCGTACAGTGGCGTACCCAGTCGCGGACCGTGCGAATGCGGCGCAGTCTAGACTCTAAATCTCAAACAATTCATATGTGACGGCCACGAGTGCCACTCTAGGAGCTCCAAAGGTCAATCAATGACCTGAAGCGACGATGACAACTTACTGTCTAGAGTGTTTCGCAAATCCAACTCCACACCGCTCCCGATCGTGTTTGAGTAAGTGTGTCCGGAATTGGGTCCGCCTAAACTTTTACCTCTCAGAACCAGCTGGTGATACCCTGGATCGTCATATCGGGACGCTGGAAATGTAACTTAAACGTTGAAATAGACTATCCCTTCAACGTTGGTGTAAAGCGCAGGAGAGCGCGTCACAATTGTGTCACGAGTCACGACCAAGACACTGCATAATCGCGTCAAAATAGCTACCAGCGTATCAGCTGTAACAAAAATCGTACAAAAGCCTGAGATGCTGCTCATCTCAAATACCTTGCAAGAGAAATCTTCTTGATAATAGCTATACTCATGGCTGAATATACTCCCGATTCCTTCAAAATCCTGCTAGGAAAACTTGTCAAGACTCCCGAGTATTTCACTCCGGAAGACCTTGAACTCTCACTTCATCACCTTTTCACCCCCGATGCTGCCTTTCCCGCACAAACAGGTGCATTCCTTACTGCCCTCCATATAGGAAGAGTGGAAAGACGTCCAGAATTCCTTGCAGCGGCTGCTAAAGTCCTAAGGGCGCGCGCGTTACAAGCAGTCATCGAGGATAGAGACACGGATTTTGTAGTCGATATCGTTGGAACTGGAGGAGATGGTCACAACACGTTTAACGTTAGCACCACAGCAGCCGTCGTTGCTGCAGGCGCAGGCGCTCGAGTAATCAAGGTAGGATCATTTTGCATCTGCTACGGTAACTTAGCTGATGAGTCAAACAACAAGCATGGAAGCAAGGCTTCCACATCTTCATCTGGTTCAGCAGATCTTCTACAATCACTCGACTGTTTATTCACTGCCCCTTCACAAGGCACTTCCTTTCCCATATCTAAGGTGCCGTTCACCTTCATCCTCGCGCCTCATTACCATCCTGCGCTCGCTATGATTGCACCATACCGCAAGTCCTTACCGTTCAGAACGCTCTTCAATGTCCTTGGACCCCTCATAAACCCTGCACGTCCACGAGGCATGGTACTGGGTGTGGCTGAGCGCGAGGTTGGTCCTACCTTCGCTCAGTCCCTACATGAGGGTGGCGTCGAACGCGCTCTCGTGGTATGTGGAGCCGAAGGACTTGATGAGATCAGCTGTGCAGGTAACACACACGCGTGGCAATTAGTGGATGGCAAAATTACCGAAACCACATTGCACCCAGATCTTTTCGGATTGAGTACCCATCCACTTACATCCGTAGCGGGCGGAACGCCAACAGAGAATGCAGAGACATTCAAAGCGCTCCTCAACTCGCGTAATGACATACCAGAGTCGTTGACGCCTGTTCTGCACTTCGTCTTGTTGAATGCATCGGCGCTTCTGGTTGTCGCAGGTTTGGCTTCAAACTTCAAAGAAGGGGTTGCGCTAGCGATGAATAGCATAACTTCGGGGAGCGCATGGGATGCATTTGTAGTGTTTCGAAATGCTAGTAGGGAGGCAGTGAAGGAGACCGACGAAGTCAAAAAAAAGGAAATCTAGATGCGATAACCAAGATACCCGCCTGCATACGCATGCCTCGAGTTCTTCATTCATCAACACTAGTGTCATTGGTGTTCAGTTTTTCCTGCTATGTGGTCATATGCTTTCACGTGTATGTATATCACATAGACCATGGATCGCGGGGTGAGCACTCGAGCACACACTCACCGTACAAGCTTGTCATCGTACTAATCGGAGCTACTTGATACACCTCGTGATGAGATGCTTATCTTTGGTCGGACTACAATCAGTTGTAGTTGCACACTGGGCGCGTATGAAACGATCCGAACTCTCTTAGGTAAGTTCTACGCCTGTGAAGGGTCAGCGGGATTTCTTTGTTCGAACATTTATACATTTTCACTATCACAGTTCTTTCGGGTCAAAGTCGAAGTCAAAGTCACGGACAAATTCTCTCGACACATCGTCAAAAGTGTGTTCATTGCCGTCTGCATTGGCTGCCACTTAATTATATACTGCGTTGAAAATTTTCTGTGATTCTATTTGGAGCGCTTTGTGTTTGTTCGACTTTTTCGGCCCGGCTTGAGGTATGGATATTTGGCGTTGGTTTTCAACGTAGGCAGCTTACATTCGTCGACGATATTAGTCCGTGAGTCAATTAATCATCATGATTCAAATTCTCCTCTACTCCACAGCCTATTCTGCCCCGCTGAGTATAGCACAACAACGATGTTATTCATTATACGAGAATCACTGGAACTTGTTTCAAGAAAACTATATGATAATTTATGCCGACACGACAGAGTATAAGTTCGGCACTGCAAATGTTTAAAAGATCGGGGAATGAGTACTGAGTCTCAAACTAAGCCCATATGTGAACGAATACGGTAAGCAAGGCAAAGTGGTGTTTTATCTGTTCATCGGGCGTACCCCAGTGGCGAGAGACTGAATGCAACTTTTGAGAGCTGCGTATACAGCCTATAGGCCTCATCCAAGTACCCTACTGCTCGAACATGGTTTCAGGGTTGATGTCAAGGTGGTAGAGAAATACGAATCGCCTAAGATTGTCAGGGGGACGGAGCGCGACTGCAGCTAGATGGAGCTTAATGGCCTCCCTCGTCCAGGTCAGATAGGGCGGCACATTCCGCGAATCCGGTTGGAAGGCTGGTGGCAAAGTCGTTGAGACATAGATCAGGGAATGGCCAGGGGGACGCAGTGCGAGTGCTGCCCAGTAGAACTCGGTGGCCGCGTCCAAGTCAGACAGAGCACCCTGCTGCCTAAATCCGTCACACAAAGGCTGACGTCAAGGTTGTTCATATACTTGGATCGAAGAGCATGGTGAGGTGGACAGAATATGAGTGTAGCTCCGTGGAGCTCAATGACATCTTCCAGTTCAGACAGGGTTCCGTGCTGCTGAAATCGGTCACGAAGGCTGGTGGCAAGGTTGTTGTTATACTCCAATTGAGGAATATGGCCAGGGGGACACAGTGCTAGGGTGGCAGCGTAGAGTTTGATGGCCTCATCCAGGTCAGATGGGGAGCCCCGCTGCCTCCATCTGTCATGAAGGCTGATGACAAGTTTGTTGAGAGCCGTGGATCGACCAGGGTGACCAGGGGAACGGAATGGAAGTACAACTCTGTAAAGCTCGATGGCCTCATCCAGGTCAGACAGGGCACCCTGTTGCTTAAGTCTGGCTTGGAGACTGATGGCCAGATTATTCAGATAAATTGACTGATCAGAAGAGCCAGAAAGACCTTCTGCAAGATCGCTGAGTCGTCATCGCTTGACATCATCTGCCATGCTTTGTACTGAAAATCATAAAGTTCAATAGATACGGCAAAGAATATCGAAGCAGGATTGAGCAGCGCGAAGTTATCTAGATGAGATTGCAAGAACACAAGCTCAATGTCGAGCGCCTGGCTAATGAGTACAAAGCTGAGGATGGTCGGAGCGCTACGCACAGAATAGCGATACAGCAGCTGTCGTGTCTGGATACGGTTATGCTCTGTAGAGTACGCTGGCATCAGGAATATCAAAGAGGAACGGAGGAACAATGGTGACAATATTATCTGCACCAAGGAGACGCAGGCCGACAATCAGCTCTATATTGCGGGTCCTCACCCTCAGCAACTCGTCGGTATCGGAAGTTCATTCAGCCTTGAAGAATCTGCACTTTCCATCAATTGATGGGAAGAAGACAAATGACGTAACGTGCTTGTCTGGGAGTTGGCGCTATGGCACTCAGCGGGTCTGTTCACTGACAAAGTTTTTGTGTGGATGTCCAATGAAATGGAGTGAAAAGGGCCTTGCGAGGTTGGTTGTATATAGTCCTTGGCATGAGGGTTCTGCTTGCATGAAAGTCCGTGCGCAAGTAAGTACTCCGCCTTAGTCAGCTGCACGACTCGAGTTGTCCAGTGTGCCTGGCAGGTCAGACTGCCGCACGCGCATAACCGTCACGCTGAAATCTGCAAAACTTACTTTTCATGTACGTACAGTACTGAGTATGGGAACTCAGGTAAACCAGCGTCCTCACAGCAGGCTGTTTAAATTTGTCTCCTTGGAAGGCAAAGTACTGACAAATGTTTTTAGCTTGTTCACTATGCATCTGACTTCAACTTGAAGTGGCATAGCGTCACTGCAGCCCAAGCCTGAGAGCTTGAAACTTGAATTTCCAGATCCATTGCTGTCGACGAGCTCGGATCGCTGCAGGTCAAATTGAGATAATGCGGCCATTAATCCTGGTCTACCGTCGCGTCTTGCTAGCAGCGTTTCGCTCATGTTGAAGGACGACACCCAAGTGCCCATCTCCAACTGACAATGCGAAGGGATGGGACGTCATCACTTTCACGCCTCATTTCTGTCTGTCAGACTCGGAGCGACAGAAATTGAATGGCTCTTGAGTCTTTATTCAGTCAGGACAATGAAGGGCACTCACGATCACCCAAGATGTCTATGATGCTAATGATGATTCACATGACGATTGCAAATGTCTTGAATTTATGGCGAGTGCTCCCAATGACTCTAAATAAGAACACTAAATACTTGATCAACCACTCGGGCACGCCAGATCTCCACCTCTAAATTCGACCGAAATCCCAGTCCTCCAACAGGCAGCACATCTTTGTTTGAAGGTCGCATTGTCTAAGCTCCCAGCTGATCTCAAAACGTTGATGGCGGAGGCGGCGAAGACAGTCCCACACCCAGTTCTGGCTGTTCCATCGGGGGTCGTTATGCATGATCGGAACGCTCGCGAGGTTCCATTCGAAAAGGGCCAGCTTACTTGCAGCCACTCTTCCCATGGTGTGGCTTCCGCGCCAGTCATCAGGGTTGACATGTGGCTGGTTACGCCTGAACTCCACGGTGTAGGTCTCTGTGTCTCCCAGGAGGTGGTACGTGTTTCCGACACCAGGATCGGTTGGGACGTAGATGACCCAGTGAAGGGGATGCGGCCGAAGGTACTCTACCTCGCCTCGCCAAAACTGGATAACTTCGACGTTATAGTATGTTTCTTTGGCAGACATATTAAGATATGGCTCTGGGACTGGGTCAGTTGCAGTCGCCTGAGTTTCTTATTCCGTGTTCTTACCAAGAGAGCAGATGACGGAAATCACAAGCGGGTAGGTTCGAGGTTTAAGCCCATCGAATACCTGGATTTATATTCGAGCTGTTGTGGATTTCTTGTCTCGGGAACATCCTCGAATTGTGGAATACAACATCGAACGCGACATGACCATTGTTATTCCAACAGAGTATGGTGTGCGGTGCGAGTGGATCACTGATTTCCTTCCCCGATGAGCCACATCTAGTAACCCACAATAGCCGACTCAGTTCGAAAGCAGAGGCTAGGCCGCAAGTTCACGCCCTCCTTTAACTCATCGCATGATGGACTAGATCAAAAATTAATATGATGCATCTACGATTCATAATATTGTACGCAAGTGTTCTAGGCTTCTAGGCTCTTGAGATTATGGACGTGGACCTCGAAGGGTATTTCTGGCTCGTTGGAACTCGTGACATTTTTTGTCTCGCGAATGTGGAGATCGGTCAAACCACCCGAACCGTATTAGTCCAGTGGAGAGTTACGATACAGAAGAGTCCGTTGTCCTAGCGTTGTCTTTGACTTGCAAGAAAACTACTTGGTATTCACAACATGCAAGCGCTCCAGTCCGTTGCACATTGATTCATAGTAATAGACGTCTGTATAGAATGTTAGCCATGGTCTCTTCCTCTCCTGGGCCCTTCCGGCCGTCAGTATGTTTCGTCATTGTCCGTGTGATTCCATGCTCACCATAATCTCCTGGCGACTCGATGCATCGTCTAAAAGGTGTAGCATTTTGAATGCCAACGAAATTTAGAGTGCGAAAGGAGCATCCGGAGACCGAAATGAAAAGGAGCCTCACTTAAGATGCAAGTTGGAGCGCCAGTGGAGCTCAAGTGGAGCGCGCACATGGGAGTCACGATATTGGAAATCGCTCCGTCCTTACAATATGTAGAATGGCCATTGGACTACAATGCTGCAGCTCCTGTACGAAGCTACTCGATTTTCCCCGCTTATCTGACATATTTCCGGATTCAAGCTGGCCTGAATAAAATCAAACTATATAGGTGGCACGAAGTTAAGTCAAGTCTCAAATATGTTGAGCCTCCCCGTCATATTCTTGAACCTTGCTAGGGCACATAATCAACGGATCGATTCATTAGTAATTCGGGGCTTCAGATCAGCCCACTTTTTCGGCTATACTTACTTTTGTCCTTCACAAAATCGTCAACCTGCAGTAAGAATAACTTTGATTGCGTGAAATACAAAATTATTCACGCTAATAGCACCGCGCGCCGGATCGCTTGTAGCGCATCGCATGTGGCTGTGTTGACTGTCCTGAGTCTGCTGACACCATCATGCATTCAGTGTCCATGTTGTCCCCCATGATGCATGTCCATGAGATCTCGGTGGTCCCATGCCGCTCCTGATAATAGCATTATTAGCACGTTTTGTTACTCAAATACCTACACTATGGTCTTTCTCGAACAAGCAGATTTATATATATTAGTGGGCAGGTCTTACAGAATACTGGTACGTCCCCCCTGCTGCGTGAGCTATGACTTCTCCTGATGAAACAATTGTCAGCTCAGTAGCAACTCAACCTACTCCGTCGTCGCTTGTCCCAGCGCAGACGGATCTGACATTCTCGAAAGACTTCGGATGCCTTCCTATTCCGAGACGACTCCGTTATGACCCTGATAAGCCTTTCTACTTCGGAATGTTGCTCAATGTATCTTTTGGCATAGGCAGTACTTTAGGTAAGTCATGACACCAGGACACTCACAGATGCGCGTTTAACATCGAGCAGTGTTTGCCAACCTATATTATTGTCAGCCAATTCTAAGTACGTTAGCTTCGCATTTTCTATTTTTTTTTTGGTCTTGATGTATGTCTCCAAGTTCAATTATCGGCTTCTTTCCATGTCACGTATGACGAGGTGGCAAGGTGTGGATAGCCAAAAGTCTAGCTGAGATCCGCGAATCTAACATTCGCACAGGATACCAACCTTAGTTCAAGCTGGGTAAGGTTCTACAATCCTTCCGAATGGCTACTGTTAACAGTGGACAAGGTTTGGTATTGGCCTCCTATTTATAACACCACTTGGTGACATGCTTCGCCGACGCCAGTTGATATTGCTCTTGGTTGTGTGTTCAACCTCCTTAACAATAGGATTAGCCATTACAAAAAACCTCGTGGTGTTCGAGATAATCTCGTTTCTGATTGGGTTGACATCTGTCGCTCCTCAGATTCTCATGCCACTAGCCGCTGATCTCGCTCCTCCCGCCCGTCGTGGATCAGCTATCTCAATTGTTCAATCAGGTCTTCTGCTTGGCATCCTCATCGCACGTGTACTGTCTGGCATAGTGGCCAATTTCACGAGTTGGCGAATTGTGTACTATATGTCTATCGGCATCCAGGGTATCGTCCTGGGTGGTGCATACATGTTACTGCCGGACTATCCAGTGAAGAACCCTGAATTGTCCTACCTCGGGATATTTCGTTCCATGGCGAAATATATTGTCACCGAACCTCTCGTCGGCCAGATCATGTTAACAAACTGGGCTGCCAGCGCATGCTACACCAATTGGTGGGTCACCCTCACGTTTCTACTCGGTGGACCGCCATATAACTACTCCACGTAAGTGACCCTGTCTTATTATCACACATTCGCTGATGCCGTTGTGTCAGCATGATTATTGGCTTATTTGGCCTCGTTGGAATGTTGGCTGTAATTATTGTGCCATTCTTTGGTCGTCTGCTCGATCGGCTTGTGCCATGGTGGTCCGCTGTTGTTTCGACTGTATTTCTTTTGGTGTTTCAAGGAATACAAACTGGGGCAGGAGGTATAAACATCGCCGCGGTCATCATCTCTTGCTTTGGATTAGACATGTTCCGCCAAATGCAAGCCGTATCATTCTCTACACTAATGTTCAGGTACAATATCATTCGTTTTGCAGTTCTGCTATGCTGATTGACGATGAACCAGCATTTCGGAGACCGCGCGCTCACGTTTGAATGCACTGATGACCATATCAGTGCGTCAATTCGCATTTTCTGTTATGGATCAGCTTGATGATTCCACGGACTGTCGCAGGTTTTTCTGGGTCAAATTACAGGGACGTCCGTTGGGTCTGACGTTTTTGTCGGATATGGCTGGCGTGCAAATTCTGCGCTTTTCATGGCCATGATTGTCTTCCAGCTCTCTGTGCTTATCCTTAGAGGTCCCCATTGTCCCGGAAATCGCTGGTTTGGTTATGAAGGCGGGTTGGGATTATGGAAGATGTTGCCGTCTAAGCAGTCCCAACTCATCGTGAGCGACGACCCTGAGAACACAGGATGCGGTCACTTGGCTGTGGTGTGCAGCGAGAAGGGGGATATCAAAGGAGGTGCTGAGGAGCTCCGCTAAGATTTCTCGAGCCAAAACTTGACACTCGTACTGAACATATTATATACTGATAGAAACTTAGAGGCCGCCGCAACATGCAACACTTGATGGATCTGATCATGCATATTACCAGCTCACCGGCTTCATACATTTGTTCCGTGGCAAATTACTAACGGAAATTTACTCGTTATTGGGTACTATCACTATCACTCAGGGGGTTTTCAACCCCTTGATTCTCGGCGTGTGCGCAGCTCCTCTAACGCAACAGAAACGTGCTGTTTCAGATTTTTAATATGGCAAGTTGTTGGAGCCACGGCCCGCGGAACAATCCTGAAAGCTGCTGTCCGTGTGTCCCTGGAATGAGTCATACAGTACACGGACGGTCTCATGATAATGAATGTGCATGTGCGTGGCGTCAGTCGCGGAGGTTTAAACGTTTGTATTCACAAATTGTCACACCTATAACGGCGGCCGGCCGCAGTCATATCTTTGTAAGACTTGCAGGCTGTGGTTTACAAGCACTAACATGAACAGGTCATACTTCCAGCTAAGGACGAGCTTCCGAAAAATTGTGGGGCCGCCAGATCTAGCCGCTACGGTATGCGGTGAAAAGAGTTTCGGAATGTCAACTCACTGTGACTTCTGCTCAGTGCTATTGACATATGAAAGTCTCCAAATTTGGTCACACGGTACCGGCAGAGTAATTACTGCAATCGATTGAAGCTCACATCATTGAGAGAATAGTATTTCCAACTTGAAGTGAATCCTGAGTCAGGCCTCAGTATTCAGTACTTGATAAAGCGTAATAGTAGAGTATTGACGCTGCAGTTTGGTCAACAATTTGTTGCAACATGTAATATGAAGGGGGAAGAGTTGTCTCCATTCCGCTGCTTCAAGTTAAATCCGTGAGAGTAAGCGCTGGCCGCTGGCACAACTTACCAATGCCAAGGACGGACTTCCGTCTTATTTACGTACGGTGAGTCGCCACCGATCAAAGTCGAAAATATCTGTTATATAGCACATTGTAGCCAGTTTATAAGCCCAAGGTCGTCATGTGTTTGAAAGGACAGGCAGCTGTTTTCTTTCGTCGATTTCTTGGCCGTTCGCCCTACATCCAAGTGCGTACCTTCTTTTTATATATTTCACAAACTCACTTTTGCACCCTTCCGTGCACCCCATGTGGCTTAGCACTGCGGTATCACTCCCGGTGCTTCACGTCATCTCGTGTTTCTTGATACTTATCGCAGGCCTCGTCCGAGTCGTTGCCTACCTTCACGCTGTTCGTGATTGTCGCTGAGACCCATCCTCTTTTATGTCTCCCTCCAGCACTGAGAAGCTAGGGGCACACTGCGAGTCTACCGAAACGGCTGTCGAAAATGTTGCAACGTCAGCAGAAGACTCGAGTTGGCCCACAAAAGATTTTGGTCTTATACCGATTCCGAAAAGGCTCCAATACAATCCCATGGAACCTTTTCACTTTGGCATCTTGCTCAATGCTTCGTTTGGATTTGCTAGCACATTCAGTACGGATTTCCTGGTAGACAGTGAATGAACGCTAATAGTAAAACAGCTGTCGCTAACCTGTATTATTGTCAACCGCTGTTGAGTATGTTGTGAAAAGTCGTCGGCTGCGCGTGTCTCTAATCATGAAATTCGTAGTTGAGTTTTCGAAATCATTCGATGTAACATATGAAGAAGTCTCACGGTGTGTGATTTTGTCCGTTTCAACGAATCTGGGCTAATAGTAAGCATGATTGGTTATCAAGTATCCCCACCCTCATTCAAGCAGGGTAAATAAACTTATCGGACTCCAATGGAACCTGAACGTTTACGTGTTGTTGTTCAGGTATTTAGTGGGATTAGTTCTGATATCCCCTCTCGGTGACCTTGTTCGACGCAGGCAACTGGTGCTACTGCTGGTTGCGACATCCACTGCTTTCACGATCGGTTTGGCCGTGACCAATATTTTCCGGGTCTTCGAGGTTTTGTCCTTCTTGACCGGCGTTGTGACTGTCACTCCCCAGATCTTGATGCCTCTAGCTGCAGATCTTGCTCCACCTGAACGCAGAGCGTCTGCACTGTCTGTGGTACTC